ATGAACTGAACCTGTGAGGTTTCTGGTAGTTCCTGAAAACCGAATCTCTTGTTCATATTGGATATGATGTCAATGAAACTCGCTGATTTGTTATTTTCCAGGTGTAGTACTCACTCACTGGCCGCATCCTCCAAACACCAGCAAAGCTGTTCCCTCTTTTGCTCGCCTGTCCACTCGGCAATTTTAACATAGCCAGAAAACTTGGTATAAAAGGCTTTCCAGTTGCCCATCCCACTATAACGGACCGTTCTTGGGATCGTGCACAAAAATTGCCTTTTTCTAATTTTCTCTTTCTTTTTCCGACTCTTTGATTGTCGACTGTCTGTCTCAGATTCTGATTGAAACTGTCTAGCCGTAAGGCTTCTCCTAGGACTATGTCTACTAAGTCTTGGCGTGAATGATCAGAGTTCGATAGTAAGCAGGTTCTGACCTTCGCTTATTCCTGGTCTGGCGGTATGCTGAAACATCTGAAGTGTCAGAATCACCTGTATAGTTATGACCTGGATCACTTCTGTGTTGTCTCTCATAGTAATCACTATTATAGGGATATTCCTTCAGTCTTGCTGAAGGTTGGTTGTAATGTATCTGTGGTGTTCCTGATGGTGGAGGTTGCTGCTGTGGCTGATAGTTACTCATACCTGGAGGCCTTGAATAGTTAGGCTGACCTATTACTGGGTATGTTAAGCCAGACATGTGTTGTTGGTTATAGGCATGTAAATTTGTTGGTGCCTGTAGCGGTGGTCCACCTCTTGGAGGCTGGAACATTGATGTTGGGTGACCAATCATTATAGGTGGTTGGGTCCTTGGTACAAAACTCGTTGGTTGATACCCTGGTTGTTGATAAGAGGGTTGTTTTTGTTGCGGTTGCTGTTGAGGTAAAAAAACCGGCACATCAGCTAGTTATTGACCCCTAGTTGAAGCTGGTCTAGCCTTTGTTGTAGGCCTTGTACCTGTTGTTGCATTTGCACTGGTAACAAAGGTTGTTGAACCTTGTTAACACCTGGTTGTTGGTTGGGTATCTGTTGGTGACTCGGTACACGAGTCTGAGTTTGTACAAATTGTTGTTGAACCCTGTTGACACTGCCTTGTGTGTTGCTAGTACTCAGTTGGTATTGATATGTTGATGGTATGTCTGTTGAACATTTCCCCTGTGTACTTAAATTGAACTGCTGGGATTTATGGCTCTTACCCGGTTGGTGAAGGTTGTTGTAACCTTGTTGAAGGTAGGTTTCTGTATGTTAGAGAAAAAGTGGTGAGAATGGTTGAACACGTTCAACTGTTGGTGTGTTAGGTTTGTATATACTCCTATGTTGTTGGTAAGAAATTTCACTTGGTGAAGACCTGTGATATGCCTGTGAAGCCTGTTGAAGGTGGTTGGCTACCGGTTGTTCTTGTTGACGGTAGATGTTTTCATGTTGAACACTTGGTGGAAAGTGGAGAACATGGTCACTTGGCATTTCATCAGTCGTGACAGGTAATTTATGTTGTTGGTGGCTGTTGATGACCGGTTGAGGCCTGTTGATAACCTGTTGACCTGGTTGTTGAAAACTCGCCACAAGTGGTACTTGTTGTTTCTCAACATTTAAATGTTGCCTATTATTATGCCTAGATGTAGTAAGGTCTAAAACTTGTTGTTGCTGTAGACTGTCAGCAAGATCCTGTTGTTCTGGTTGATGTTGAACAACCATATTGGTTCGAGGGGACGGCGTTAGACTTTCCCTACCAGATATGTCACTGAGATGGCCTAGCTCACCGAGCAAACTTTCCATCTCGCCGGACACCTTCTCTATCTCAGAGCATGGTCAGCCGTGACCCTTGTGTCATGTCTCTATCCGGGGTCTCTCTGCTCTCTGCCAGTATCACCGCTCCAGGCTGAGGAAACTCCCTAGATGATCTGCAGGGCAATAACACTACAGTACACTGCAAAGCCCATAACCTGAATTTGTCAATTGTACATGCTAGTGAAGAACCATTAATCAGAAATCTTAGGAACACTGTGCAGGCTATTGCTTTCGCATTCGATTACTCAGCAAACAGAGTCCTCTTTTTAAAGAAAACCCGAAACAGAATGCAGTAGTAAGAGAAGAAAAGGATAGACGTTAGAAATTAAAAACCCTTTGTGAAGCATGTTGGGCCAGTAGATCAGAATTGTTATATACTTTTCTTACTGCGTTTAAAGTTGTAGTTGATTCCCTAGAGAACTTGGATCACCATGGTGACTCAAAAACTCGTAGCTATGCTTGTTCAATCAAGAAAGTTGACTTTATTATCACTTTGGTTGCGGCACAGTCTATTTTGCAACCTTTAGTTCCCCTTTCAGAAATGCTACAAAGGAAATCTGTCGATCTCATTGAAGCTGTGTCTGAGAGTAGAGTTGTTATTGAACAGAAAACGGAACAGCCTAGAAGCCTGGAATGAGTTATTTGAGAAAGCTGTGGAAGTAGCAGATACCGTGGAAGAGGTTCCTACCATGCCGAGAGGTGCCGGTAGACAGCGACATCGCGTAGTTATACCAGCTGAAACGCCCAGTCAGTCTGGAAACGTGCAATGTTTCTACCGTTTCTTGATCACTTGATATAAGAACTTACACGCAGATTGGTTTCTAACGAAGAATGGTTTTCTGCCCAGTATTTGATACCACCAAAGCTAAATGGAATTAATCAGAAAGTAACCAAAATCTTATTTGAGACGTATACAAATGACCTTACTGTTAACATCATTGCACAATTTCGGAAGGAAGTTGAACGATGGATTGTAAGGTGGGGTATAGCAGCGGACCCAAAGCCATCCACTCTTTCGGAAACTCTGCCAGTGACAAACAGTGACCTATATCCAAATATTTACATTTTTCTGCTGATTCTACTAACAATGCCTGTGACAATAGCAACAGACGAGAGAAGTTCTATCATAATGAGAAGAGAGAAAACTTATGTCCGCTCTACAATGCATACAGAAAGACTTTCTAGTCTGTCCATCCTTCACGCATAAAAACATTGGGAAATTGACATTGAGAAAGTTATTGACGCATTTGCTGTTAGGAAGAAACGTCGTTTGGGGTTCCTTTTTTCTGACCAGAATTGATATACTTCAAGTTTCAAATTCAAAAGATTGATTGTTTTAATATGTTTATGCTAACAGAAACTCCACATATAGTATTGTGTTTATGTTTATTGTTTGTTTTTATACACCTAATTTGCTCAATACAAAAACTAGCATATGGAACAAATCTCCGTGATTTTAAAAGCTCTCACGGCGTGCAAAAAAACACAAACGAGAATGTTTAGTCATCATTCGACTTGAAGTTAAACAAATAGTTGACCGAAAAAACCACAACAAAAATGTACAAGTTTTATTACGGTTGTGATTGTTTTGAAACGCTATATATGCGGAGCTTCAAGGGGGCTGTCCCCCCTAACAGGGCTTTGCCCTGGACCAACTGGGGGCCTCAAGCGACCCCCAAGATCCCTCGCCCTTTAGTTTGTGATTCCTCTTCAGTAAGAAGGTTTCCACGCCCCCCTGATGGTTTTAATCATGCTGATTTTTTTTATTTTAAACTTTTTTGTTTCCTATCTAATAATAATAGGGAAGAAAATACTTTCAGTTTGCTTGGATTGCTGTTTAAGACTCATCTAAAAAATGCATATAATTTGGTTCGTTGTAACAAGTAAAGGGAAAGAAAATTCTTGGGTTATGCATGAAACACTGTTTTCATCTAATAGAATGGTTTGAAATATAGAATCACATTTTGTTTCCGAAATGACTTGTAATCGAGCACACCCTTATTAGTTAAATAACCTAGACTAAAGTGTTATACAACTGGAAAATTCTAGTTGCACCATTTCATTTTTCTTAGACGATTCTTCATCCAATATTTATCAAACGAATAACACACATAATCCATTAACATATATGCATAAATATTAGGTTTTTTCTCTTCCGAAGTACCACTTAAAGACACAAATAAATATCCTTTCAATCCCACTACAAAAATACGTGCGTATCCAATGACTTAAAACATAAATCTGGATGAACTTGTTTCAAGATCTTTGTATAGTAATTATTCTTCTGTTCAATAAAAACTTCGTAAAGTTTATAATTTGTATAATTTTTGAATGCATAAGGTAAGCTATGTTTTGATATCAGAAGTGACTTCATAAAACAGAACTTACTATTTTTTTTTATTAAAAACAAATGAGATGTGCTGTTGGAAAGACCTTCAACTGTCTCTAAACTATTGGTTTTTTTTATTCTTATTGGATTTAAACTTTTCGCAAAAAGGAAAATTATTATTGTGGTTCCCTTTGGTCTCAGATTTTGATTCATCACGATTGAATTAAGTCAAATTTTCTTGCTGATATTTGTGAATTCATGGTTTAAAAAAAGGGTTAATGCCTTATTACACAATGGGGGAAAATAAATTTCTTCGCCGAGCGCAGCTGGATACGACCGCAGAGGTCCAACCCTGAACAGTTGGGGCAAAAATGGACACAATATTCGCTTTTGATACAGGTCTGAATTTGGATTGTAATTAAATATTTGACACATAATAGGTTTCTGACACAGAATAACTGTAGTCAAAGAACTTAGAATTGGTTATATGATTTGAATTTATATTCAATTTTTTGCTGTTGCGAATTGACCCCCCCCCCCCCCAAAAAAAAGAAAAATTTACCCACCCCCTTTTTTTTGCTTTCGTGCAATACACTATGCTGTTGCAAATTGACCCCCCCCCCCCCCACCCAAAAAAAAAAAAAAAAAAAAAAAAAAACCCTCCCCCCCCCCCTTTTAAAAAAAAAATATTTGAGAAGAAATTTTCTTTTTAATTTCTGAAATCTGAAATGAGGAAAAATGGTCCCCCCTAACAATTTCTTGTTTACCCCCCCCCCCCCCCCCTCTTTCCCCCTTTTCCAAAAAAAAAATTCTTTCCCTCAAGATATGGTCATAATCTCAATTCAAATTTCCAATGAAGTTTGCAACCATAATTACCCATTTAAATTTAAATACATCATAAAAGTCTTGAAATAGAAAATGACATACATAATCATGGCTAAAATTAATATATTAAATATTCCTTAATCAGCATTTTTAAAAAGTAACTTCTAAAAATAAATTGACAGCTAATCATCTCAAGACAATACAACATTTCTTTATACATAATTTAAAAGCAGTGTAAGGGAGGTAATCCAAACTTAACATTGTACTTTTTTTTAATTGTCCATTAACCAGGAAACCCTTGTTTTTCCCCTTTTTTGCCCGTAATTCCTAAACGGTTTGAGCCATAACCCCCCAAAGCCAATCCTAACCATCCCTTTGTGGTATGGAAACTTGTGGTATAATTTCAGAGAGATCCATACACCGTTCCGCAAGTTATTGTCTGGAAACTAGAAAAATGCATATTTGGGCCCCTTTTTGGCCCCTAATTCCTAAACTGATGGGACTATAACCCCCAAAATCAATCCCAACCTTCCTTTTGTGGTTATAAACCTTGTATTTAAATTTCATAGATTTCTATTTACATTTACTAAAGTTATTGTCCAGAAACCAAATGTCTTCGGACGACGCTGACGACGACGTGATACCAATATACGACCGCAAAATTGTTTGCGGTCGTATAAAAAACATGTCTTTACATGAGACATCACAGAGTAAATTATCTCTATGGGTACAGATTTGGCTCATAGCTTTAAGACTTGAAAGTTTTGAATTTCATGCAAAGATGCAAAAGCTGTCAAAGTAGCCATATTTAGAGATCTATTGAACGTTTGTACAAGTTTCGGTTTTCAAATATTTTTGCCTGAAGCATCACTTAAGAGACATTTATGGTCCAAATGCACATCTGGTGCAGTAAAGTTGGTACTGTTAATGTTATTACTTTTCAATGATGTTCAGATATGAGTGAGACCAAGGCCGCAATTACTTTCAATATTACTTTCAATATTGGTTCTTTATAAAATTTGTCAGGTTAAAAAAATTGTATCTGGTTTTTGGTGAAAATTTTTACTATTTGTAATGTACAATACAAGTCCCAATATATATCCAACATCTAGATAAATTGATTCTATACAGTTCATACATTTAGTCCATTCACATTAATACTGCATGGACATTAGATGTTCTGAAATCTGAAAATGTTACCTTTTGCGCCTGAATTATTAGTTCCTATATACCATTAATCGAACAGTTAAAATAAAACACTCAAAAAGTTTATTTCATCTCTCTTCTTTCAATCCAATAAAATATTAGAAATGAATAAGAACGGAAAAGCAAAAAAACAGAAAAAAATATTCACTGAATTAATAGAGAGCTATATTCATGGACAACAAAAATAAGGGTCATTATTTGTTGTCTTCGGCCAGCCAATACCAAAGACAAAATTCAAAAATACATGTAGAATGACAGCCAAACCATGCTCCCTGACACCGCACCTTGATGGTTGATCCCCTACAAATCCAATTATATTGCTAAGTTTAACTTCTTGTTGTGCTTATAATTCAAGTATAGAACAGGAAGTGGGTGTCAAACAGTTTTAAAAAGTGCTCAAACGTTACAAGATGCTGACCAAATATGTAGTAATTATGTTGGTCAGTTCATGAGAAAAGTGACGAAAATCCTTGTTTTCATTCAACATAATGAAAAAATCAAAAGTATTGGCAAACAGTAAGAAGGTGTCAAAACATATTTTTTCATATTTGAAGTTATGATTATTTTTTTAATAAACTGTTGACACAGATATGTCTCGCATTTTTGTAATTTTTATAGTATAATGCAAGTGTTGAATCCAAATGAAAATAATTTAACATGTAAACTATGCAAAACATTTAGTCTCATAGTCAATGAACCATGACTGAAGGTGCAGGACCAAATAACATCCATTGAAATGACAAATGTCAATGTTTTTAAACTGCATACCAAATATCATTGACTTTATTATCATAATTGGTTCCCTTTAAACTAACCTAAGCAATTTAACTTGTCAACTATGTAAAAGTTTCAAAGTCAATGACCCATGATGAAGGGCAGGGCCATATAATCTTCATGGAAATTAGCCTGACATCCCGGCCCAATCTAGCTCCGCCTCGCTGAGAAGTTGAGCCAGGACCACAGTCTACATGGAAATGAGACTTGCAAATTGTAATACAACTGCATACTTAAACTGATCTAATCACAAACTTTAACATTTAAACTATGCAAATATCCATAGTTCGGCATTGCACAAGGTCATGTTTTCTCCGACTGTTAATGTCTTTACACTAAATCCATTGGGTGTTGGATGTGTACTGATTGATATTTTATTCTTAGATACACAATTTTTTTATTGGTTGTTAGGGAGTTACTATTTGATTTTTATAGGGGGGCTAGGATGAAAAATTTTGTCCTGCATTTTTTTTTAGTTGTAATCGCTGTCCTGCCTTTTTATTTTTCACTCTATTCAGTCCTACCTTTTTTTTATTAGTTTATCCTGACTTTTTTTACATAAATTGTCATCCTGCCTTTTTTTTGCCAAGTTGCTCATCCTGCCTTTTATATTTACTCAAAACTCCTGTCCTGCCTTTTTTTTCAAATTTCATCCTAGCCCCCCCCCCCCCCCCCCCCCCCCCCCCCTAAAAATCAAATGGTAGCTCCCTTATTGGCTATGAACTAACAGTCAGTAACTGTTTATATATCCCAACTCGTTCGTTATGCCCGTGTGTGTAGTGATGTCATAGATTTTAACGAACGTAATCAATGCATCACTGGTAAATTATTAAGTCAGGGATTTCGTTACCATAAATTACGTAAAACTTTTGCTAAGTTCTTTCATAGATACAAAGATTTGATTAGTAAATTTGGCTGTACCTGTAGAAAACTGATTAAAAACGGTATTTCACATCCTAAATTTTACGGTAATATTGTACGTAAAGCGCGGAAATCACTATGTGATCCGTGTAAACTCATCGAACCTTTAAATAAACTAATTAGTAAACTTAGGTTATCTTACCAATGTTGTAATTAGATCTTTGAATATAGTTTACATTGGCACTAATATCGATTTTGTCATCAGCAAATTAAAACAAAACTAAATTTGTATTCTTTTCAAACGGGATGTATAAAGACACACCCACGTTCATTTTGATCTATAAAGAGGTTAAACTCCTAACTATCCTACTGTCTGTTGATACATTTATTTTTGGCATTGCACAAGTCATGTCTTCTTTGACTGTCCATGACGTTAAAATACTAACTCCCTGGGATGTGTTTTAGTTGATTTTAGTCTCTGATGCATGATTTTTTATTATTAATTGTTTTGGCTTTTAACTAGCTGTCAGTAACTGCGAGTACTCTCAAATCGTACTTTCTTGTTTATTTGACATGTTGATACTAATTGTAATGCTTTTTTGTTATTTAATGTTATTCAGGGTTATATCTGGTCTATATACCAGCTTTGATAAGTGTTTGGTACTACTATAAATTTTCACTTCGTACTATGAACATCAAAATTATTTATTTTGTAAAAATAGTTCCTTTCTCTATTGGAACTGTACACGTATACCTAACAACAAAATTATTTTCATTTACCTGTGTTTAAAGTTATTGCAAATGGCTGATATTTTTGTTCGAGCATATTGTTTTTCTTAAATTGTTTAACATTTCATACCGATATAACATGTTACTTTTATTATTCTTCCCTTAGTTTATTTATTTTGTATTTGCATTGTATCATAGGTCAAATTTATTTGTTCAGTGTATGTTCACTCGTGTTAATATGTCCTTTGATTGAGTTAAGCTATTTCAGTTGATATTTTATAGTGTGTCTTTCTATGTTGTGATGCTACACTATTGTTTCAGGAAAAAGGGTGAAGGTTTGGTACCATTAAAACGTTTAAACCTGCTGCATTTGTTTGCACCTGTCCTAAGTCAGGAATCTGATGTTCAGTAGTTGTCGTTTGTTGATGTGGTTCATAAGTGTTTCTCGTTTCTCATATAGATTAGACCGTTGGTTTTCCCGTTTGAATGGTTTTACACTAGTATTTTTGGGGCTCTTTATAGCTTACTGTTCGGTGTGAGCCAAGGCTCCGTGTTGAAGACCGTACTTTGACCTATAATGGTTTAATTTTATAAATTTTGACTTGGATGGAGAGTTGTCTCATTGGCACTCATACCACATCTTATATCTATTTGGGTCTTTTTTGTTGTGAGCGATGTATAAATTCCCTGCCATGTCCGGTCTGTGATTTAGTTAGTTGTTTTTCTGCTTTGTATAGATCTGATGAGTTAAGCCCTTATCCATGTTAGCAACTGGTTTGTATAGTTTGTTCGTATGTTGTACTGTAACACCACTGTCCAAGATACAGGGGGAAAGTTTGGCGCCAGCAAACACGTTTAACCCCGCCACATTCTGTATGTGCCTGTCCCAAGTCAGGATCCTGTATTTCAGTGGTTGTAGTTTGTTGCTGTATATATCATATTTGTTTTTATTGTTTATTGTTATGCCACCGCAACTGAAAGTTGGAGGGCATATTGTTTTACCCCTGTCCGTTCGTCAGTCCTTCCGTCTGTCCGTCCCTCCCATTATGGGTATACAGACGGCAAAATAGAGTTTTAGGTAGAGTTTTGCTATTTTGTCGGTTTTATTTTAGATTGTTTCTCAGGCTAAATGAAATAATTTTTTTTAATAAAATCATTGACGTTCGAAAATGGATGACAACACTTCATTGTCAAAAAAACTTGAAATAAACGCTACATTCCAACTAATATGAAGAGCTAAAGTAGGTTTTGGAGCACTTTGAAAAGGACAACTATGTGCAGCTGTGGAAACGTGATTCAAGGATTATAAAATTTAAGAAAACTATAGTACCAAACAAAACCTTTAATAACGATCTAGTCTATGGCGCAATAAAGTACTGCTGTGTTCATGGCGCAAAGACCACAAACCTTCATCCACTGGTTAGTCAAGTTGTTTCATCATTACATGTACATGTATCTACGTGTTTTATATCTTGCAACTATATACATTTGCGAATGGCAGTACGCATTTGAGATGACAAGCAGCAGAAACTGACATTGTCAAAAACTTCCGAAATTGTCCCTCATTCAACACCTTTTAATAGATTTAAATCAAATTTAGTATACACTTTGCACTAACACATTGTGACAAGTGTGTAGCCAGTAAAATAGCCACTGCCTTATTTACATGTAAACTGTTTTATGCAACTATCAATTGACATAGAAACAAAGTTATATTATTTTACTGTTAGAAGATTAGAGTAGGGTCTGTCTACCTTTCTGGAAGTTCTGAACATACAAGATTAACCCCAGTTGTTTAAAGGGTTCATATTGCTAGTCTTTAGTTTTCTATGTAGTGTTTTTGAGACTTTTGTTTGTCTATTTGTCGTTTTTTTTTTAACTTACATCTTGTTTCTCTTATGAGTTTTTAATGTCCCTTTTGTATCTTCCACCTCTTGATTATTGTTAGAATAGAGCCGTCTGTGTTGCAGTAATGTGATGTCATGTGATTAAAAGTTTGGTCGATTAAAATTGACATGATGATGATGGATGGCTGCTTAATGTCCAGTGGCAAATTAAATTCATATTCAGGAAGAGAACATGTTAATGATATTTGAATATTAACCCTGCTTTGTACTGGACCAACACATTAAGCCGAATTTTTAACGTGCTAGTTCCCAAGGCAACAATCTGCAGGAAGACATGTAACCCTACCTGGACACATTATTCTGTCTCCAAGCCGCCCAGTCTTTGCTTTTACTCCTTAATGCTGCATGCTTAATCATGTTAGTGGAGAAGCATCAAATACCCATTAAAAAGTCTATGGTTTGCCCCGGCCGGTACATGAAATTGACATGAAAGGATGGAGTTTTAAATTAACCCTCTTTAAGTTCATTTTTGCAAATCGACATATACATGGCAAGTATTTGGAACTATATTTCAGTGTATGTAGATGTAGTGTCTAATATTGCTACATCCTGGTGATGCCATAGGAAAGAATTGAAAATAAAGTTCCAATCTTTCCAAAAACTACAGGCTGACAATTTTTTTCTTTTATTCTTTTTAATGTTTATCATTTAGAAATAACCTGTTTCTAGGTTGAAAATGAACATGCCGAGGATGGCACTACTGAAATCAAGTTAAGCTTTTATTATGGCCTTAAATAAAGAACATGTTAAATTTTTCATCAACACATTATTATTTTTATGCATACACTTACCGCAAACTGATTTAATTGTTGCAGCAAAAACTGCAGAATCCAGTCAATTGTTAGAATTCTGTATATTATTTGAATACTGTAATTATACCTATACAACCTCTTACTTTAAAAGATGCCCTAGTCACTTTTTTTGGAGGGAGAGGGATTGTTCATCCTTAATTATTCAATGATTTGGTCCATAAACCCATCAGAATTAAACAATTTTATTATCCTATCAAGTTGAGTTTCCAAAGTGTGTCATAGGAAATATTCTTTAGCTAAAGATGTTAAAATTATATCTTTTAATAGGCCTTTTTGCAGAAAACTATTTACTTGTATAAAACAGCTCTGGTTGATTTAGTTTTTTTTCACCTATCCACAGTAAATGTGGTCACAAGGTGAACAAATTTCTTGATTGTCCACCCATTACATATGTAGATAGGTTTTGATACGGTGTAATTTGAGTATGAGTTATTCCCCTTGGCCACCATTTTGAAGAGATAAATGGTTGATTTTCTTATTTGACTAATCAAATTGAAACATGAGGTACAACCAAGTCTGATAAAAGATCCTAGATTGAAGTGATGAATTAATCAAGGCTAAAAAAAATTAAAATTGTTCAGAAAACAACTTTTTCTGAAGTCGTGCACTGCTCACTGTGGATACGTAATAAAATGAAAATAAACCATAATTTGTAGTGCAACATCTGGCACTAATTTTTAAAATCCACTTCTTTAAGATTTTACTCTTACCTTTTCAGAAAATTATATACCAAGAGAGCTAATTTTAGATCTTAAAGTTGAGAATATCTTCATAAGAAATTTGCATAAAAATAATTTAAAGAGATACACATATTATACCAACCAAAAATGTGCCTCAAAATTATTTTTAAATAGATTTTGTGATTAAAAGAAGCAATAACACAATCTTGATATTTTATTTTTTTCAGTACCAGTGCAAACTGGAAATACACTGGTCTCATTCAAGATGGTGTTCTATGGGAAAGGGTCATCTTGTTTAAAGAATAAATTTGTATGAATTACAATCAACAATTATATATATTACATGGAAAATAACATTGCAAATGGATTTCATTCATCACTGAAATAATCTTACGTCTAATGAAAAGAAATATACAACATAAAAACACTTAGTCTATAAATAAACTAATACTGTCAATGCGAATGGAATTCTTCAATTATGTACACATGTCATGTGACTTTGATAAATAAATGTTTTGCCATTAAATGCATTTGAATCTCACAGTTTATTTTGGATCATTCCTCAACGATAGATGACAGTTTGTTATTGATCATGGAACACATCCTTGTGGAGGACTGACACCACTTAGTTTGCACATGCCATTTAATTGCACCTTGTCATATTTAAATAATGCCTTGTTATAAAAATTACAACACAAAGTATATCACTGCATTTAGATATATTCCATTTAATAAACTTTTCAACCGTTTCCTTCCATTATCAAAGTGAATCAATATTAGCTATATCTTTCACTTTGTTCCAAAAATTTGGAAAATGTCATTCTTCATCAACGAATCATTATTCTATCTTAAACATCCTTTGCAAAGTTTCATCATTCATCAATGCAATAAAAACTATTTGTATTTATTTCTGTTTTGCCTAATAAAGATGAAACTTGCCTCCTTCATTTTGAGAGAAAAACATTATTTTTATTAACATCCATTTTGTTCAGTAATTCCCTCAAATCCAGTAAATCATACTAAGAACAAACATTAATATTTTTGAGGCAAACTGGTCCCATCCACAGTTTAAAAGTCACTATCTTTTTTGTCAATGTGGTGGCAGGGGACCATATCTCTCTCTTTCTAATGCAATCTGTCTTTGAATGGCCTCATGCTGTGCAGCTTGTGCCGATAACTGAAATAAAAACAAGCTATTTCATTACCTGATATTAGACAATCATACATATCAATTCAAGATTTTCAAAGAGTTAAAAAGTTTTTCAATATTCAGTTTTTACTGTTAATTTTTGCTGCTATCACTCTCTCTGATGTTTATATTTTTGTAACTGTTCCTAATGTTATTTAAATGTCTTTGTTAAATTGTCCCTATTGATACTTTTAGTATCCCTTTTTCTCGTCTTTGTTAAATTGTCTCTATTGATACTTTTAGTTAATAGTATCCCTTTTTTTATTGCCTTTTTGGTGATTTTTTTTTCAATTATCTCAGCTGCCATATTTGTAATTATGTTACATTTGTCACTGTTTTGTGGGGTCTTTTGGACATCTTGACCTTTAGCTGCACCCTTCATAATCATGCAGCCTCTGTAATTATAGCTTGATGCCAAAGGGGGAATAACTGAATGTAAGTGTTATTGGAGACAAAACAAAAAGATGTGGTACGATTGCCAATGAGACAACTCTCCCCCAGAGATCAAATGACATAGAAGTTAGCAACTATAGGTCACTGTACGGCCTAAACCCATACCGCATAGCTGTTTGATGCTGACTTTAAGTACCAGTCTGACAAGGATGACTAATAAAAATGAAAAGAATAACATTTATAAAGTCAATTATAATGTCTGAGAAAATATCACTAGGTTATCTCCCATACACTGTATACATTATTTCAAATAAGTGATAATTAGATATAAGAAGATGTGGTATGAGTGCCAATGAGACAACTCTCCATCCAAGTCAAAATTTATAAAAGTAAACCATTATAGGTCACAGTACGGTCTTCAACACAGAGCCTTGGCTCACACCGAACAGTAAGCTATAAAGGGCCCCCAAAATTACTAGTGTAAAACCATTCAAACGGGAAAACCAACGGTCTAATCTATATAAAAAACAAGAAACGAGAAACACTTATGAACCACATCAACAAACGACAACTACTGAACATCAGATTCCTGACTTAGGACAGGTGCAAACAAATGCAGCGGGTTTTAAAGTTTTAATGGTACCAAACCTTCACCCTTTTTCTGAAACAATAGTGTAACATCACAACATAGAAAGACACACTATAAAATATCAACTGAAATAGCTTGACTCAATCAAAGGATAATCATAAGTCTATATAGATCATGTTAAACCTTTTCAAGAGAACTGCTTCTTTTTGTTTTGTTTTGTTTATTTGTGTTTTTTTTAACTAATTACATCTGTTTTGTTTGTTTTGCAGCATGAATTATTTGTAAAATTTCCAATACTAAGTTAAACCCATTAGGAGAAGTGAAATTATCAGAAAAGTATCCTTAACTATAAAGTCAAATCCATTGTGAGATTGGAACTTGTCAGGTAAGTATCCAGAACTAAGTCAAATCCAATGTGAGATTCGAACTTGTCAGGATAGGGTTTAAAAAACGACCCAATCCATATATTGATGTTTGCAAAAATCCCTACTCATTCATATATTTCATAGGAAAATCATAATCAGCTATCAGAAATACAATCTATGACATCTTTAGATGTAAACCACATCATTCATATTATTAAAAAAATTAGAACAGGTATTACAGACATCTTATCAAACAGAAGATGAAGATTTAGGACCCATTGACATTTAAATTTCTACCCATTGTGATATTAGCTCCGCAAAATTGCACACCATTGATATTTTGACATTCCATAAAAGTTACTCATACCAGTGGCACTTCTGTGTATACCTTTATATAGGAAGAAAAATAACTCTTATCTAATCTAAATTATGAATATGAGAATACTAACCTGATGAGCAAATGCAGGGTCATAAGCCCTTCTGTAGAGATCACTTTGTAACATTTCTTGTTCCCTGTTTGAAAGGAGTCCAGCATGTGGAGGAAGACCATGTACAAGAGGGGAGGGAAGAGACACAGGTGTACTGGATCCCGGTAGGCCACCACCTAGTGGGTCAGCTCCTAATAAATATAACAGTCAGTAATCAGTATATACTACAGACATTGAAATAAACTATGACAACAATAAACTATATGTTTAATAACTACTGTAAATTCAGAAATTATTGTTTTTTTTTATTAATGCGAATAATGTGACTAGGAGAGTATCGCAATAATAAGAACTCGCATTCATATTTCTGATACATACATCTGTATGCCGATATTCCTGAAATTGCAATAATAAATCTTACATTTTTGTCCATTCTTCAAAACTCGTAATAATAAATACATGCAATAATTTCTGAATTTACACTATTTCTACAGGAGATATAACAAGAGTAATTTCATTAGAAGTTTCAAGTGTCTAACTGACAATTAAATTTTAATTTTGAAGCCATCATGTCATGTTTTGCATTCTCCCTTGCTGTTTCTTGATACTGCTTGGTCCATCTGTCTCCTGACATCTCATTTTTTTAATGTCTGTTATATAGAAATATCATTGATCTCGTGTTTCCTTTCAACTGAAGATTTCATCAATCTTCATTTAATATCATAAACAGTACAAATTTTACTGCACCAGATGAGCATTTCAACAATTAATGTCTCTTCAGTAATGCTTGAGGACAATATATTTGAAAATCCAAAATCTAATACAAACATGTTATAATATGATTTGCATTTAATTTCACCTCAAATGTTCCAAGGAGAAATGTTAAGAGTATATTTATTTGTTTACAATAATGTTATAGCCAATAATTGAACAGAACTACATACTGTGGATTCATAACAATTTGTGGGGGATCAGTTTTTGTGGATTTCATGGGTAAAGGTAAAATTGAATTAAAATTTTGAATTAAAATTTTACGTCTTCAACAAAATACTAATTCCTACAGACTGTTAATTCCGATAAGCTGTTATTTCCTATAGGTTGTCAATTCCCATAAGTTGTTTATTCCTGTAGGCTGCTAATTCATACAGGTTGTCAATTCCTACCAGCTGTTAATTCCTGTAGGCTTTTAATTCCTATAGGCCGTTTGGCAGAAATTTCAAAACTATGAAATCAGGTATCAAAATATAATTGTTCCTTAATGAATCCACAGTATATCTAACCATCTAATAAAACTCAAATTCTCATCACTCTATAAACTCTTGGGAAAAAAACAATTTGTAAGGAACAGTTGAGGTGCAAATGATGAGTAATAAAAATGTATAGTTTAAATTGTTCATGAAAGTATACTGTAACCACAATTCTTTATCTGAAGTAAAGTATCTATTCACTTAAATAAAACCATTTTACACACAATTCTAAAAATAGTTACAGTATACTGTCATGTGATCTGCCTCACTAATGTGGGTCACAAATCAATGTACAGTTTTAATGCCAACAAGCAAATAATGTACAACAATTATATAGTACAGCCAAACTACAACAAAACTAAGGCTCGTCTCAGTTATACATTCAACATTTTTAGTTTTGTCAATAATTTTCAGCTGTTTGAAATTAACAAGCAGAAAAAGGTAAAAAAAAAAAATAATCAAATTCATAAAAAAAATTTCCTGTTAAACTTTGTGAGCACAAGCAAAATTAAAAGTAAATTAAGCTGTTTATTATTGAGAGTCAAATCTAAACTCAAAAATTTTAGGATTAACGAAAATTTTCATTTCATATATACAGAATGTTTTCTTTAAAATTTTCAGTATTACTAAATATGTTTGTCACTTTTCATGAAAACAAAAGTCTGAGACAGCCATTAAAAAAAGAAAAAAAAAAGAAAAAAAAAGCAAACATCCAGAAAGTTAAGACTCCCAGAGGACTTACGGGAAAATTGATAGACCAAATGCGAGGCTGGATCTAGCAAGCTTCGTTCATGCTTTGTTTGAAGTATACATTCATTTGTAACCCTTTGCAGGTAGATTTGTTCATTAGTGAGGCGTTGTGAGTATATTTGGTATATCATTCGCCCAGTCATTTGGTCATTTTGTAGAATATCTGGAAGAACACAAATTGGTAGTAATTAGAGAAAACAACGAAAAAACATAACAACTTTCCTTACCTGGGGGGAGGGGCATCAGATGATGCTGATGGGGAAACAGCGGGTGGAGTGGCGGCTGTTGTGCATGATCTTGCCCATGTAGATGAAGGTGGGTGTGGTTGTGTGCATGATTGTGGGTGTGTCCTGCCAGTCTTTGAGCCATCCCATACTGAGCCATGGGATCGACCATGGCAAGCCTCTCTGCTTGCATTCTTTCCATGGATAATCTTTCTAAGGTATTTGCATACGCCATCTCTGCTGTTTGGAGTGGGGGTAACCCTATAGGGACAAGACAATTTTTAACAATTTCAATTCCCAACACTTTTACTTTAAGCCATCTTATTTGAAATGCATGCTGGCAAAAAACAAAACGAAATCTGTAAATTTCTGGTATTATCGGATTTTCCTTAAATTTTAACCTTTGCAAAACACTGGTCTAAGAATAATATTCACATGTTTAATCATTGTATTATATCAATGCATCAAATAAATAAATCAATTTCTCATCTTTTCCCTATTTCTGTGTTTCTTAGCATCCCCCATCCATTTTCTGTAAATCATCAGTACAAAAGCTATATATATATATATATACATATACACAAAAGGCAAAATCCAGCATATCACATGAATTAGACATAGTATAAGGTTTTTTCCAAGACCTGCATAGAGATATTCTGTGGTTCAATGGAACATGTAACTATTTTGTTCTGAATTCAATTAAGTAATGGTAAACCGTATCAAGAATTCATATTCAGGACATACTGCAACAAATGAATACATTTGAACTATGTGTTGTACTTTAAAGTAAGCATCTATACTTATGTCAGGTTTCTATGATACATTTTGTCAATCTATTATGATTTTTTAATTCAGTAAATCTTAAGCTTTAATATATCATTTTTTACAATTTTACAATCTCCAATCTTTCAACAATAAGGCGATTCAGATACTGCACTCATCAAGTGAAATAAAAAAGTCATATTCTTTAATTTCCTTTTTTGTTTGTTTGTTTGTTTTTATGAATTCCTAACAAAGAGATAAACCATCTTACCTAATCTCTCCAGCCTTTCTCTTTCTCTCTGCATCAGATCACTAGCCAGACTGGTGGGAGGATACACTCCAGGGAGGTGATGGCCACCAGGGTTGCCTGGTGGCATCAACTGTCCTGATGGAGGATAACCACCGAATCGTCTCTGAATTTCTAACCAATGTGGATCCATGGGGTTAGCACCGGGTGGAAGCAACCTTTCTAAACCTATGAATATACAAACACTTGTCTTAATCTGAAATCCCTTTTTTTTAATTCCTGTACAGTGTGTAGTGCTTATAGATACATGTGTGACTTTTCAGTGACAAGTTCTGAACTCATCAATGAAATACTGTGGATTCATTTAATTTTGTGGGTAACTATTTTTGTGGATTTCAGAAAAAATTTTTTTTCTTGGATATTTGATTTTGTGGTTTTGTCTGCTTACAAGCCTAAAAGAAAAAATACACTTCGTTAAACATATGAATTCATGGTTCACATTTACTCACAAAATCCACGAAAATTGGTATCCAAAAAATACTAATGAATCCACAGTATAACATTTCAGTGACAAGTCCTGAACTCAACACTAAGATTATAGTCAGCCACATCTGATTCATGTTGGTATCAAATATGGTATATATACAAAATATCAGCCTTTATGCTAAATTAACATGCACAATCATTATCTTTAAATTTTTAATTCACAAAATTTCGGTTACAAAAACAGATCTGGCTTAAATGTAGTTAAGCCTTATAAAATAGGATAACAGAATAATCCACACAAGCTTTTTGCAAAACTGAAAAATACTTAATTTTCAAAAATGCAAAATAAAAGTGTCTTTCCAGTATTTTTGTTGATATGGAATGTTTACCTGGAGGTTTCATTTCTATTTCTTTTAACTTCTCCCTCATCTCCATTTCTCTGATTTCTCTTTCTCTAATTTCCCGTTCTCTGGCATCTCTTTCACGCTTGTCTCTTTCCAACTCTAACTCTAGCCTGCAATTAAAAAACTCTTCTTATTACTACTAAAACACTATTTGTGTGTGAACACAATTTTTGTGTATGAGCACACTTTTTGTGTATATACACACCATTTGTGTATGTGCCCACTTTTTGAGCATGTTCACACTTTTTGCATATGTGCAGTCTTTCAATTATCATGTAAATTAATATCTGAATTTAAGATTTTTTGTTGTTAAAATTTCATGTCAGTCAGCAATATCAGCAAAAAAAATATTTAGATCAAAACAATGCTGATTAATTTTAATAGAAATGCCTTCTGGTCCCACATACAATCAGTTCTGGAATAGCCCTAATTCTATTTATGCAACTTCTAATTTTGCAAATAGAAAAATAATGTGAATATAGATTGTTGCCATTACATCAACCTAAGATAATCAGCAATGTCAGAAAATAATGGCGAAGTTGGCACAAAAGAGCTAAATACAAAGGTAGTTTGTTTGAAGCAGTCAATCACTAATATTTTATCAATTAGAAGAAAAACTATATTTTCTGCAGGGTCATCAAACAAACGTCTTGATGTGCCATGTGGTTGTCTTAATGTTTGTCTTGTTTCCATTATTTACAGTGAGATATTGTTGGGCAAAATTATGACATTATTTTGTAGCTTTCTTAGCCTGGTATTTAGTCTGTATTTCTCTTCAATGCACCCATGTACCAGTATCAATTTCTAGTATAGAATCTTGCTTGAACCAGTGAAAAGCATAGGTGTTAAGGATTTGCTCCTTGTTGAAGGCCTCACTGTGATTTTGAGATATATAACAGCAATAAAAGCACTTTTCTTAGGTTTTTAATCAAGATATATGTAAGGACTTTATGTTATATCCCTTCTATTCTATCAATTCTATGCAAAGTTTAAACTAAAACCATGTTGTCAAAAAGACCCTCTTAAAAAGGAATACTTTGGGCTATTATTCACAAAAACAAAAAGGCAAGGTTGAAAGTACCAAAAATGCTTTAAATTTATCTAATGTTACTGGACTAAGACCTACCTTTCCCTGGAGCCTGGAGGATACATCCTATAGGCTAATAATGGGTCCATATTTGGTGGCATATGTCCATACGGATGTGGTCTAGAGGGATCTCCCATGGTGTGAGGCTTGGCATATTCGCCCAGTTGTCGTAATGCTGGTGTGTCATGGTATGATCTTGGCCGTTCATAATGAGATGAAGGAACATTACTAATAATCTGTGCGTCTGCTGTAGCATTAGGAGGCGGTGTGTCAGGCTTCTTCTATAATTACAAATTTACATTTCAAACCTATCTTTATTAAATTGCATGTTAGTTGGTGTACATTGTTACTTTTTATCAGTCATGTTTTTGATGTTTTTTCATGTTTGGACTTCACCAACTCTAAATCCCCAGTATGAGCCTGATGAAGGTTAATCCAATAATGTGTTATGTGCTCTAAATCATTTTCATACTCTTTTTTTTATATACAATGACATTAGAAAGCAAGGTCTCAACGTTTCAAATAATCAAAGAAAATAATTTTATCTGACCTAATAACCCCTTGAAAGAATTTCAACAAAGGAAAAATGAATACATTCAAAGCACAAGTTTATCAAAAAAGTTAAACAACAGATCAGTAAAAGCATTACTCAGAGCTGTATTTCAGAATTTTGGGTCCTTCCTCATTGCTCTTCAACTTCATATTTTTTTGGCTTTTACAACTTTTTGGATTCAAGCTTCACTGATGAGTCTTTTGCAGACAAAAGCCGTTACTGGCAAACAAAATTTTAATCCTGGTATCTATGATGACTTTATGGCAACTTGTTTGGAGTGTTTTTAAAAAATGAACTCAAGATCCTGTACAACTCATGAATATCCTTTCTTTCATATCCATCTATGAACTCAAGATCCTGTACAACTCATGAATATCCTTTATCTCATATCTATCTTACTCATTATTTAATTATTATAGATAAAAAGCACACACACACACAAACAAACAAAATTTAAAGCGTGTTTGAGTACTGTCTTAGAGGAACAGACACAAATCACACGTACAGCTAAAAATACCTTTTCCTCGACCTTGATTGGTGTTTGGACAGGGGGTGCTGGAGTCGACGGAGCCTGACGTTTCTGTGCCAACTTAGAATCGACAGGCGCTTTAAATATGAAATCACAGCGTGAACAGGAGTTATTATCTCCCCTGGCAAGTATTCGTAACAATCTGTAAATAGTTAAAAATATGAAATGTAAATAATGAAAAACTTAAGGAATAATACCTGTTACCAAAGGCTAATATTGAAAATTCAATGTAAGTTTTGTTAAATTACCAAACAATATTTCTTCATGTAACACATCCTTTTAAAGGTTACCCATATCTCTGAAAAATTATAATCTTGCTGTGATCTGTAGACAACTGTGTATTGCTTTATAAAAATAGTTTCTCACTACATACAAACATAACAAGGTTCATTTATTTTACTTTGTTGTGTACAAAAAAAAATGTTTTTAACAGGCACAATAAAATATTTATTTTCTTATGATAATTGAGCTTAATGTCCAGTGGCAAATATTACATGTATGCATATTTAGGACAGCACCATGTTATTATAAAATGAAGTTTCTGTTTCAACCATACTGATATGACTGAAACTGTCTTTGATTTGGCTTTGCTAGGGATCCAGACCTTAAGCTCCTGCACACTAACAACTACATGTAGAACAATGAGGTGGTTATATTCTGTTGTTCATGTTGTTCTAGAGTTTAAATTTATATGACACATTTTTATACATATGTATACTTGTTACAAGTAGTAACATTTAAAAAGTATCTTATTTAGAACAAGCGTTCTGTGAGTATTGCCTGGCAATATATAGTCCCCTATCGGTTAAAAATTCATTGTACTGGAACAAAATGCTAACTTGATCTATAACTTGTCATGATGTAAACTATATAACAAATATCAAGTCAATATCTTCAAGCATGATGAACAAAAAATTTGAAAATTGATTATTTGAGTGAATTTTCTAAGTCCAAGGACCATAAATCTGCACAAAATCATCAGACCAGAACAAAATTTAAACTTGATCTGTAACTTGTCATGAGAAAACTATATACCAATCATCAAATCAATATCTACAAGCATGACATAAAAAAGTGCGGAAAACTGATTATTTGAGTGAATTTTCTAAGTTCAAGGACCATAACTCTGCACAAAATCATCAAACCAGAACAAAATTCGAACTTGATCTGTAACTTGTCATGATAAAACAATACACCAAATATCAAATCAATATCTTCAAGCATGAAGAAAAAAAGTGGAAAACTGATTTGCCGGACTTACGGATGGACAGACAGACAGACAGAGTGCAAACCTAAAGTCCCTTTTGACTTCGTCGGTAGGGCACTACTTAGCATGAATATTTGCAGTTCAGGACTTCTCCTGATGCAATACACTTGAATTTTCTATCAAAATGAAATAGTGAAAAGAATGCCAACAAAGTACAAGCTTTACCTGATCTTTTTTTTGAAGATTTCAGCTTCTTTGAGTGCAATTTCTTAACATAAATGTAGCTGCATACAACATATTTTCATCAATAATCCCTTGAGATACACATTGTTTCTTACTTTTGATGTCTTACGACAAACAGAAACAATGCTTTTCAATCACTCATATACCAAATTGTGTGTTACAAAAACTAAAGTTGGAACTAAATTCAAGCTGCCAAGACTCACAGTCTCACACTGCAGCTGTACTCTGCTGTTCTCCACATCACATTTTAACAATAAAAGGCCCTCCTCCCACTTGGCCCTTTTAAATTTACCATACTTGTTCAGCAGCTTTACCTTAGTGGATCTCTTTTCTGTTGGTTATGTCCCCTTTTTTTCACATCTCTGACCCCTTACTGTCTGTACTTACATTGCATCATTACTTTTGTAAATCTCAATATGACATTCTATTGCAACACCCCTAATCTTGTGAATCTCAATATGGCATTCTATTGCAACAGCTTTAAACTTGTGAATCTCCATATAACAATTTCTTGGTACAGTCATCCCCTTTTTTTTCAAATCTCTTACCCTTTATCTATTAATAAGTACTTACATTGCAGCTTTACTTTTATGGACCTCTTCATTACATTTTGTTGGTTCAGGTCCAGGAGTTAATGTTCCTTCCCTGTCAGAATCTGTTTCTTCTTCCATCACTTCAACTACTGGTTCCGATTGTTCTACTTTCCCTTGCTCACTTTCAACCCTTTCTGTTTTAACTACTATTTGTGGATCACATGGTTTAATTTCATCGCAAACATTTGTAGGAGTTTCTACAGGTTTGACCAGATCTGGTTCAGTTTTTATAAAGTCTTTAGCACTATCCATCAGCACTGGATGGGGCACACAATGCCCAGAATCCTTTATTTCCTTTTTCACTTCCTGTTTTGGTGAAACAGGAGGGGAATGTGGTTCTTGTTTAATGTTTTGAATGAGATCTACAGATAACGGCATCTGATGTTGTGGCACTAAAGGCAGTGATAATGGCCTGCTTGTTCTCTGAACGTCTGACGATTGGTCAGTACTAGAGTTCACAGGTCGTAACGGTGGTGGAACTTGATCAGACTTAGATGATGGCAACACTTGATCTGCCAACAGTTTAGATGATGAAGGTGACACAGTTGATGATATTTTATCATGAAATGGTGAAAATGGTCCTTCTGAATGTTTTGATGGCAGTTTCTGTTGATTTGGTGAATATGGTCTTTCGGAAGTCCTTTGCACAATAGGTTTAGGAAGTGATGGATGCGATTGCTCAGTATTCCTCAGAGGAAAGTTTTTGTAAATATTCGGTGAATATGGTCTTGGTGATGACTTTTGTTGATATGGTGACACAGATCTTTCTTGTAGTTTTTGGATTTTTAATTGATCGCTGGTTGAAGCCAGTGGTACAGAGTTATGGCCACTGGTTAACGACTGTAATGAAGACAATGGTGGAATTTCTGGCAATCTTGATGTAGCTTTAGAAATTGGCAAGTTTTTGTCTGTAAAAGCTGATTGTTCTTGAGGTAATGATGTAATCGGTCGTCTTGCAAATTGATCTGGTGCCCTCTGGTCTGTTTGTTTGTTGACTGAAGCTGCCAATGATGTTGGAACAAGTGGTGGGGGTACCTGCGATATTGGAGGTGGTATTGGTGAATTATTGGTTATATTTTCCAAATTTTTTATAGTCTGTGATGTTGAGGATGGAATTAAAGATGGTGGTGGACAGTGAGGTGGAAGGTGCTGAATTACGGGAGGTGTGCTGGAATGAATAGGTTGAAGAGGGGAGGTAACTCTCAAAGGTGGTGATAAGAAATGAGATTTAGGAGGTGTAGGTGATTTAGCTGGGGTTTCCGGCTTCACATCTACATCAGAAACAGGTGGTAACGGTTTACTGACGTCAGTGTCTACAGAATGAGGAGTGCTGGGAGGAGACGAAGAACTAAGATCATCCTGCAAAGAACAAAGAGATTTCATCATGCAGACACAGTCATAGTTATATATATTCTAATTCTGTGAAAGGACTTTTTAAATGGATATAAACTTTCATGATCTGTTGAAATTTCATAGGTAACCGAGATAGTGGTTTTTTTCCCCAACTTTTCTCAAAAAAACAAAAAAAAACAAAATTTGTTACTGTGTGTCTTATTTCTCACAGTGATATTTGGTGAAAAGTAAATATTCATTCCCAATTACATGTTTGTTAAGAAATAAATTCCAAAAATGTACCAAACATCAAAATTTAAACAATCGCTTGAATTCATACGTTGACATTCTAATTCATTGTGCTGAAGTTTGTTTTTTACAAAAAGTGGAGGAACATTTATGATTGGATGATAAAACTAGAGGCTCTAAAGAGCCTGTGTCGCTCACCTTGGTCTATGTGAATATTAAACAAAGGACGCAGATGGATTCATGACAAAATTGTGTTTTGGTGATGGTGATGTGTTTGTACATCTTAATTTACTGAACATTTTTCCTGCTTACAATTATCTCTATCTATAATTAACTTGGCCCAGTAGTTTCAGAGGAGAAGATTTTTGTAAAAGATTACTAAGATTTACGAAAAAATGGTTAAAAATTGACTATAAAGGGCAATAACTCCTAAAGGGGTCAACTGACAATTTCGGTCATGTTGACTTATTTGTAGATCTTACTTTGCCGACATTTATTGTTTTTTACAGTTTATCTCTATCTATAATAATATTCAAGATAATAACCAAAAACAGCAAAATCACCTTAAAATTACCAATTCAGGGGCAGCAACCCAACAACGGGTTGTCCGATTCATCTGAAAATTTCAGGGCAGATAGATCTTGACCTGATAAACAATTTTACTTCATGTCAGATTTGCTTTAAATGCTTTGGTTTTTGAGTTAAAAGCCAAAAACTGAATTTTACCCCTATGTTCTATTTTTAGCCGTGGCGGCCATCTTGGTTGGTTGACCAGGTCACGCCACACATTTTCAAAACTAGATAACCAAATGATGATTGTGGCCAAGTTTGGTTTAATTTGGCCCAGTTGTTTCAGAGGAGAAGATTTTTGTAAAAGATTACTAAGATTTACGAAAAATGGTTAAAAATTGACTATAAAGGGCAATTACTCCTAAAGGGGTCAACTGACCATTTCGGTTATATTGACTTATTTGTAAATCTTACTTTGCTGAACATTATTACTGTTTACAGTTTATCTCTATCTATAATAATATTCAAGATAATAACCAAAAACAGCAAAATTTCCTTAAAATTACCAATTCAGGGGCAGCAACCCAATAACGGGTTGTCCGATTCATCTGAAAATTTCAGGGCAGATAGATCTTGACCTGATAAACAATTTTACTTCATGTCAGATTTGCTTTAAATGCTTTGGTTTTTGAGTTAAAAGCCAAAAACTGAATTTTACCCCTATGTTCTATTTTTAGCCGTGGCGGCCATCTTGGTTGGTTGACTAGGTCACGCCACACATTTTTAAAACTAGATAATCAAATGATGATTGTGGCCAAGTTTGGTTAAATTTGGCCACGGAGTTTCAGAGGAGAAGATTTTTGTAAAAGATTACTAAGATTTACGAAAAATTGTTAAAAATTGACTATAAAGGGCAATAACTCCTAAAGGGGTCAACTGACCATTTCAGTCATGTTGACTTATTTGTTAATCTTACTTTGCTGAACATTATTGCTGTTTACAGTTTATCTCTATCTATAATAATATTCAAGAAAATAACCAAAAACAGCAAAATTTCCTTAAAATTACCAATTCAGGGGCAGCAACCCAACACCAGGTTGTTCGATTCATCTGAAAATTTCAGGGCAGATAGATCTTGACCTGATAAACAATTTTACTTCATGTCAGATTTGCTCTAAATGCTTTGGTTTTTGAGTTATAAGCCAAAAACTGCATTTTACCCCTATGTTTTATTTTTAGCTGTGGCGGCCATCTTGGTTGGTTGGCCAGGTCACGCCACACATTTTTTAAACTAGATACCCCAATGATGATTGTGGCCAAGTTTGGTTTAATTTGGCCCAGTTGTTTCAGAGGAGAAGATTTTTGTAAAAGATTACTAAGATTTACGAAAAATGGTTAAAAATTGACTATAAAGGGCAATTACTCCTAAAGGGGTCAACTGACCATTTCGGTTATATTGACTTATTTGTAAATCTTACTTTGCTGAACATTATTGCTGTTTACAGTTTATCTCTATCTATAATAATATTCAAGATAATAACCAAAAACAGCAAAATTTCCTTAAAATTACCAATTCAGGGGCAGCAACCCAATAACGGGTTGTCCGATTCATCTGAAAATTTCAGGGCAGATAGATCTTGACCTGATGAACAATTTTACCCCATGTCAGATTTGCTCTTAATGCTTTGGTTTTTGAGTTATAAGCTAAAAACTGCATTTTACCCCTATGTTCTATTTTTAGCAGTGGCAGCCATCTTGGTTGGTTGACCGGGTCACGCCACACATTTTTAAAACTAGATAATCAAATGATGATTGTGGCCAAGTTTGGTTAAATTTGGCCCAGTAGTTTCAGAGGAGAAGATTTTTGTAAAAGTTTACGGACGACGGACGACGGACGACGGACGCAGGACGACGGACGACGGACGCAAAGTGATGAGAAAAGCTCACTTGACCTTTCAGGTCAGGTGAGCTAAAAACAATTCAATTTTTCTTTTATCATGTTTGATGATACAGTTATTGCCTACAAAAAAAACGAAGATTGTAGAACACACAATAAGGAAATATAAAAAGTTCTATCACAGCAGATAATAAGAGTTTAAGTACTGTACAATGATTCAATTATTTAAAATCACTCTTGGAAGGGATTTTTTGCAGTGAATGCTGATGACCTTGGATGATTCACTCTGAGATACCTTTGTATATATTCAATAGATTTTAAATATCAAGATCATAAAGAGTGGTATCACTATAAACCACCAGTGATCACTCTGTTACCCTGTAATTCACACCACAGTCTGTTTCGATGTGATTCACACCAGCAAGAGTGATTCTAAAAATTCACATTGTGGGTACTGTAGACTCATTTAACATTGTGGGTTCAGACTTTCAATTTAAGATAGCTGAAGTTACTTAAGGTCAAGTCAAAGTCATTTGAATCTAACTCTTTACTTCAAAATGGTATTATTATTGAATGAATAAAAAATAAATGGGGAATGTGTCCATGGGACACAGATGATGCCCCCTCTTGCATATCATATAAAGGTTATTAAGGGACATAACGGAAGAACAGTTAAAGTGACGCTACCCAAATTTGTACTCTATCTGAGTTTTGTGGTAATAAGTATTGTGAATAAGTCTCATAACATTTGGTTGAGGCTAACTTAAGTTAAAGAACAGAAACGAAAATTTCAGCAGTTTTTCCATTTGTAAACAGGCATAACTCTAGCACGGTAAATAGTTATCAAAGGTACCAGGATTATAATTTAATACATCAGAGGCACGTTTTGTCTACCTAAGACTCATCAGTGACGCTCAGATCAAAATAGTTATAAAGCCAAACAAATACAAAGTTGAACAGCATTGAGAACCCAAAATTCCAACAAGTTGTGCCAAATAAAAAGTGACACCACCAAAATTCAAACTTGATCTGTATTTTGTGGTAATTAGCATTGTGTATAAGTTTCATAACATTTGGTAGAGGCAAACTAAAGTTAGAGAACTGAAACGAAAAATTCAGCAATTTTTCCATTTGTAAAGGGGCATAACTCTAGAACGGTTATAGTGACACTACCAAAAATCAAACTCGATCTGTGTTTTGTGGTAATAAGCATTGTGTACAAGTTTCATAACATTTGGTTGAGGCAAACTAAAGTTAGAGAACAGAAACCAACTTTGGGACGTACGGACGACATACAGACGGACAAGGGTAAAACTTAATGCCCCCTCCGCTATGGCGGGGGCATAAATATATAGAATCCATATTTAAGGTTGTATTCAAGTATAAACAAACTATAAAATATGTCTTTATAACATATGCCTAGCTTGCACAATCACATTTCTATATTAAGTGAACCGTGACATCTAGGTAAAACCTTTATTGGCAATTATTTTTTAAAGTTTACATTATAATGAATATCTGTAGTAAATTTCAAGTTGATGTGCCCATAACTTTAAGGTAACATAACTTTACCAAAAACTTTAACCTGATAAAAGACAGCCTTACAGATCAGAAAACATAATTCCCCTTTACTCTTTTAGGCTAGGTATGAAAATGATAGAATAGAATGCTAAAAAAATGTTGTATAGGACATGTTCAATAACTTTGACTTGACCTTAGGTACCTGACCTCTCAGTTGGGTCTTCTTTATATAAACTGGTGAAAATGTATACTTAATGATATTGACAACTGTAATTTAGACAACTACCCCACAAATATAAATGAATCCTCAGCTATTATACTAGAAAACACACATACTACTTATATAACTATATATATATATACAAACTGTAACATTGCCATAGTTTGAGTTCTCATACATGAATTTGCCCATAAAAAATATCTTCTCAAGAGAGAAGCAACTTTTACATTTGGAAAGAACTGCAGATAACTTTTGAATTCGGAAAAAGAAATTAATGACCATCACAATTTTTGGGTGTACTTGTAACAGTTCAAGACAAGAATTTATTAATAGGAAAAAGCAACAGGCACACTTTCTTTCATCTTCATTCCATTAAAGACCAGGAAAATTTCAAGCACATTAAGTAACCTTTTTCTCAAAGAAAATAAAATAAAATAAAATGCTCCGCAGGGCGCAGCTTGATACGACCGCAGAGGTCGAACCTTGAACAGTTGGGGCAAGTATGGACACAACATTCAAGCTTGATAGAGCTCTGAATTTGGGTTGTGATTAAATATTTGACACAGCATAGGTTTCTGACACAGAATGAATGTGGTCTAAGAACTTAAAAATTTTAAATTGGACATTCACCTATTATGGTCCAATATCCAAAATCTAAATACATGGTTAGATTCAGCATATCAAAGAACCCCAAGAATTCAATTTTTGTTGGAATCAAACAAAGTTTAATTTTGGACCCTTTTGACCTCAATGTGGACAAAGTTGATAATGGGGCCCAAAAATCAAAATTCTAAATACATGGTTAGATTCAGCATATCAAAGAACCCCATATATTCAATTTTTGTTGAAATCAAACAAAGTTTAATTTTGGACCCCGATTTGGACCAACTTGAAAACTGGGCCCATAATAAAAAATCTAAATACATGTTTAGATTCAGCATATCAAAGAACCCTAAGAATTCAATTTTTGTTAAAATCAAACTAAGTTTAATTTTGGACCCTTTGGACCTTAATGTAGACCAATTTGAAAACGGAACCAAAAATTAAGAATCTAAATACCTGGTTAGATTCGGCATATCAAAGAACCCCAATAATTCAATTTTTGATGAAATCAAACAAAGTTTAATTTTGGACCCTTTGGACCTCAATGTGGACCAATTTAAAAACGGGGCCCAAAATCCAAAAACTTAATACACGGTTAGAATCAGCATATTAAAGAACCCCAAGAATTCAAGAATAAAAACCCCATTGAAATTGGTCAAGAAATAAGCAATTTATACGAAGTATCTTCTTTTGCACAATACTGTGCAATTGAATATTTCTTGCTATTGGGCAATACTGTACAATTGACAATTTCTTGCTATTGCGCAATATTGTGCTATTGGATATTTCTTGCTATTGCACAATACTGTGCAATTGAAGATTTCTTGCTATTGCGCAATACTGTGCAATTGAAGATTTCTTGCTATTGTGCAATACTGTGCAATTGAAAATTTCTTGCTATTGCACAATACTTATTATATAATAATTTACACATTCTGTTTGGTGTGTATCTCCTACCATATCATTATTATTTGCTTTTGAATATAAAACAGAAATAACCAACTGAAAATGGAAAATTTTAAAAGAAAAAAAAAAGGAAAAAAAGAAAAAAAAGGAAAAAAAAAAAAATCCCCCCCCCAAATTTTTTGATTCATCACCCCAAAACTCAATTCCAGCCTTCCCTTTGTGATATGGTACCTTGCAGTACAATTTCAGAGAGATCCATACACTTGAACACAAGTTATTGTCTGGAAACTAGAAAAATGCTTATTTTTGGCCCCTTATTCCTAAACGTTTTGGGCAATTACCCCCAAACTCAATTCCAGCTTTCCCTTTGTGATATGGAACCTTGTGGTACAGTGTCAGAGAGATCCATACACTAACACACAAGTTATGTCTGGAAGTTACAAAAATGCTTATTTTTGGCCCCTTTTTGGCCCCTAATTCCTTAACTGTTGGTACCATAACATTAATATTTTGAGGCAATTACCCCCCAAAATCAATCCCAGCATTCCCTGTGTGATATGGAACCTTGTGGTACAATGTCAGAGAGATCCATACACTAACACACAAGTTATGTCTGGAAGTTACAAAAATGCTTATTTTTGGCCCCTTTTTGGCCCCTTATTCCTTAACTGTTGGTACCATAACCCCCAAAATCAATCCCAACCTTCCTTTTGTGGTATTGAACCTTATGGTAAAATTTCATAGAGATACATTCACTTAAACTAAAGTTAGAGTGCGAAAACCAATGTGTCTTCGGACGACGACGACCACGCCAACGTCATACCAATATATGACCGCAAAATTTTTTTGCGGTCGTATAATAATAAAAATGTGTCTCTAACAGTCTAACAAATTTTTAGTTCTCCAAAAATGTTTCAACAGTGGATAGAAAAAAATTCATCTTTACCAATCATGTAGAATTTTGCAATAAATATGACATCATTGATGTCCCTTGTGCATATCAAATCACTTCTTACTTCAATCTTTACCTGATTATTTTCTATATCTCCGTCATTGCCATTTTCCTCATCATTTCCTGATAAACTACTACTGTCTGATTCTGAATCTGATTGTTCCTGTAATATTCAAAATCATTTTGAAAACCGTCAAGTTTACGCCTTCAGCAATAAAAAGACAAATGCTAAGGTTTTAAATGATTTACATTTCACTTTTTTTAAGAACTTTTGAGTAATCAAAATATTTTATGCCAAGTTCAAATTCTGATAATATTTTTGTTGTTGTGGTAAATGAATTTGGACAACACTAATAAACCATGCTATTCAAAGTCAGTCTTACCACTTGTTTTTTCTTCTTTTTAGATATTTTATCCTCCGTATCTGAGTTCAGCTGCCTCTTCCTTCCTTTAACAGGACTATCTGTATCCTTCTATACAAAATAAAATAAATATTGATGGGCTAGTTAACTCTATTTATAGATTATCGATGGTTTTTCATACAAGGTGTTTCTCAGCTACAGACTCATCCAAGGTTGAACCAGTGACCTAACTACACAATAATTCACATATGAGTATAGCACACGAGTTAATATTTAGTGTTAATATTTAGTGTTGTTCCATCACGAGTTGAATATTTTTCAATATTTCAATTCTTGAATTAGTTAATCTTGTTATTACATTTACCATGGACTATTAAACATTGTTAAATGGAAATAAAGAAGAGATTGAAAGGACCTATAACTTTTTCTATGCATTCTCAATTGTTGATGCAATGTCATCGACAATGTCTAGACAACATCTATTGTTGTCAGAGGAGTGAAATTATCAGATTTAATTCACATGTGAAATAATCAGTTTTATTTCACTGGGAAATCACAGTAATTTATTGCAACCAATGCAATAAATACTGGAAATAGTTTTTTAAACCCCAGAGTTGTCTATCTTGTTTAAGGGTACAGTGTTACATACCTTATTTAATTTAGAGTCGGTACTACTGTTGCTAGTTGTACTATTTTCACTTGGCGATTTAGGTTCAGAATTTTTTTGAAACACAGAGTTATCTACAATATCTGGACTACTATTACTATTATTTCTATCTTTCTTTTTCTTCTTTGCCTGAAATCAGATAATAATTACATTACATGTATGTTTCACCAGTTTGATTGGCTAACAAAAATCGCACGTCATTCAAAAATTAACCTTCATATCAAAATGAAATGTTACATTCATGATGACACTTGCTTCCACAAAAAAGTGCACAGGTAAATAAAAGAAAAACTTGATAATGGAAAACTTTTTTTCATGGTCCTATTAGCATAAAAATGAAATTTATAAGAAATGAATGCCTTTTGTAATTTTATTGGGGTTTAAAAGTGTTGATTGTGCACACATTTCTAGAATGAAGCGCCTACAAAATGTGCTTCGGCCAACACTTTTACACCGAATAAAATTACAAAAAGAAGCATTCATTTCTTAAATAAAGAATACATAACAGAACTGACTTAAGTTCTAACGCTGGTCATAGCATGCTATCTATCCTTAAATATGGAAGGTCACTGCTGTATCAAACTTAACAATTCTAAACTTGATTTTTGCAGTAGAATTGTTAGTTTGAGCAGTAAAGAGTTAAAGTTTATTCAGTTTTATTGTGTACAGCTGCAGATTTAATTTAGTCTTTTTCTTCTGTAGCTTTCTTTTACTATATATTTCAAATCTGAACTTGCATGACATTCTTATTTTTATGAGTTTTCATTTGTTTTTTATTTGTGATTCGTTTTTAATCCTAAATATCAGAAATTTAATCATATATATAAATGTCTTTCAACTTTGAATCTTAAGGAGAAATAAATACTACACGTAAAATTACAGGTAAACCATAGTTTGTATAGGTGATAAATTTTCATTTCAGTATCATTTCCTTCCCTTAAAATCCTGTTCATTACAAGTAATTGAAAAGAATCTTAAAATAATTGTGCAACTTACAGAATCACGCGTTTGTCGTGTTCGCATGTCTTGCTTGCCACTCAAAGAATCTTCTTCTTTGACTGGCTTGAACAAAAAGGAAGGATTTTCTTTTGGACTGTCTAGGGGGCGCTCTTCCCCATATCGTTTGAAATGTAGACGACAATCTGTACATCGTAAGCCTTTATCTTTTCCGGCATGGTGCCAGTCTTTGGAAACTGAAAGAAGAGATGTTATTGTGTTGTCACCAAAAAAAAACATCTAAGGTTTTCTGCTAAAGAATTAAAAGGTTGATAGTTATGGATTTTTATAATCAACAACAAGAACATATCCTGTATTTACAAAGTCAAATTCCAGTATTATTGATAGTTAATTGTGAAGAAATCCTCTACAGAGCAATTGGGTCAGAACCTAAAATTAGGGTCAGTTGGGTAAACCCTAGACACACATTCTTTTTATTTCTTGGTCTTATAACCAGGTCAGTTCAACTTTAATTTCATCATCATTTATTATACAAATTCTTACATTCAGGTCTCTGTTAAGGAGAAGGTCAGGGTTTGACACTAACTAATTGTATGTACTAGCCTGCAGGGCTAGTGAAATTATTATTTTACTAGTCCTCTTGTCAATACACTAGCCCTCCAAGTGCCGAAGGCCCTTTGTCGGTCGTGCCATCGGCACGACCCAATCTAGGAGGGTCTGGGGACATGCCCCCCCAGAAAATTTTGATACAAATGAAGCTAAATCCTGTGTTCTGGAGCATTTCCAGAGAGTTTTGAACATGTTTTGTTTCATGAAATTTCACTGGTTTGCTAATAAAAAATACCAAAAAAAAAAAAATCTATAGGCCTATTAAGAATGTGTTCGACTTATTTTGAAGACCCTTTAGATCATTACTTCATCATCATCCTCATTTTACTTATCATTATTACTAGTGTCTTTACTGAAGATGGATAAGTTAGGGATTTAAAAATACACCCACAAAAGAGGAAAGGTTTGCCCTTGCTGTTTTTTTTGTCATAATTCTTCATCGACTCCTTCTTTTCCCTTGTTGTTTAAGTATATTTTTTTATGCAGGACAAGATTTTATTCCTAAAAATCTGTATATTTTACCAAAGACCAAGGAATTGTATAGTATACAAATCCTTGCAGAGACCTTTAATTTTGTTTTTATGACAATAATTCAGTGATATTGTTTGACTCAAATTACATTCGAAATACAGCTTTTTCCCCTAGAGAAAATTCCCAATTACTAAAAAAATGGCTTAAATTCCTCCCAATAAGTTGTACATTTTTCCCAAACAGTGATGGTATCGGTAGTAATGTATGTAAATTTCGTATTCATGCTATTATTTTGAGATTATGAAAGCACTTTTGAGATCCAGGTTTCTGATTAGAATCATCACGGCGTTTGTAACACACATGGTTTTCAATGTATTAAGTACCATCATTGTTTCCGTTTCTTTCCCCTCCCCAAAAAGTACATTTCATGTTAAAAATGTCTGACAATCAAAATACGTGAATAAACTGTACAATAAAGACAGCAAAGGTCAGCAAAAAATCTGGGATTTGTTGACAATTAAAATTTTGTGAAATTCCTAGTTTTAAACAAAATTTTGACTAGCCCGTCAGACTACTGTGATGAAAACTTTACTAGCCCTCCCTAATTTTTACTAGCCTCGGGCTAGCGGACTAGCGTTAGTGTCGAACCCTGAAGGTTGATTCACGTGAATTTACATTTCTAGTTATACTTAAAATTTCAATTACAATAAGTTTTTTTATACATCTTCAAAACTAAACCAACCAGTAACGAGCTAATTTCCACTATGCTATGTGGTTTTTTTTTTGGGGGGGGGGGGGGGGGGGGGGGGGGGGGGGGGTGGGTGGGAAACTAGAAAAACTGTTCAAGAAATATGTGAGGGTCTGGATGGGGTGTTATAAAATAAAGAATAATAAACAAAATATACAAAATAAAGGAATAGAGAAAAATATGCCAAAAAAAAAAAAGAATAGAAAGATATGCCAAAAAATAAAGAATAGAGAATAATGGGCAAAAAAATTAAAGAAGAGATTAAAAATGGCCTAAAAAATTAAAGAATAGAGAAATGTAAGACCTCCATCCAGGCCCTTGTATGTTTTGTAAATTTCTTCTACACTTTAAGCAGTCCTTTAATATATTAAAAGCTTTACTTGTTATAAAGTCTGGACATTTTATCCATTGAATAGTGACCTTTATATATGTATTGTTTGGTAGCTGTCTTATTAATCTTTATACATCTATTGTTCATATTTGTTCCAACAAAATACTTAAAACAATATGCAAAATAGAATAAAATGCTTCGCTGGGCGCAGCTTGATACGACCGCAGAGGTCGAACCCTGAACAGTTGGGGCAAGTATGGACACAACATTCAAGCTTGATACAGCTCTGAATTTGGATTGTGATTAAATATTTGACACAGCATAGGTTTCTGACACAGAAAGAATGTGGTCTAATAACTTCAATTTTTTTAATTTACCTATTATGGTCCAATGTCCAAAATCAAAATACATGGTTAGATTCAGCATATCAAAGTACCCCAAGAATTCAATTTTTGTTAAAATCAAACTAAGTTTAATTTTGGACCCTTTGGACCTTAATGTAGACCAATTTAAAAAACGGGACCCAAAATTAAAAATCTAAAAACACGGTTAGATTTGGCATATCAAAGAACCCCAATAATTCAATTTTTGATGAAATCACACAAAGGTTAATTTTGGACCCTTTTGACCTCAATATGAACCAATTTGATAGCGGGCCCACAAATAAAAAATCTAAATACATGGTAAGATTCAGCATATCAAAGAACCCCATATATTCAATTTTTGTTGAAATCAAACAAAGTTTAATTTTGGACCCCAATTTGGACCAACTTGAAAACTGGGCCACAAATAAAAAATCTAAATACATGGTAAGATTCAGCATATCAAAGAACCCCATATATTCATTTTTTGTTGAAATCAAACAAAGTTTAATTTTGGACCCCAGTTTGGACCAACTTGAAAACTGGGCCAAAAATCTAAAATCTAAATACATTTTTAGATTCAGCATATCAAAGAACCCCATATATTCAATTTTGTTGAAATCAAACAAAGTTTTATTTTGGACCCCAACTTGGACCAACTTGAAAACTGGGCCCATAATCAAAAATCTAAATACATGTTTAGATTCAGCATATCAAAGAACCCCAAGAATTCAATTTTTGTTAAAATCAAACAAAGTTTAATTTTGGACCCTTTGGACCTTAATGTAGACCAATTTGAAAACTGGATCCAAAATTAAAAATCTAAATACACGGTTAGATTCGGCATAACAAATAAATAAATGTGGTCAAAGATTTTACAAATCTAATGCGCCATACTGTGCAATTAAAGATTACTTCTTGAAATTTTTCAATATTTGAAATTTGAAAAAAAAATAATATTTGAAGAATAATTCTTTTTAATTTCTGAAATCTGAAATGAGAAAAAATTAACCCCACACGATTTCTTTTTACCCCCCCCCCCTTTTTTTTTCCCCAAACCATAATTACCCATTTAAATTTACCATAGTGCTAACTTAATCTATTTTATAATAGAATTTAAAATATAGTGTCAAATCTTTCATATGGATTTTTTTGTAAAAAAAAAAGATGCAACATTTGCAGATATTTTTACTGGTCTTCCTTTATAAATATGCATTTCTTTAAACATAATTTAAAAGCAGTGTAAGGGAAGTAACCAAAACGTTGTATTTGGATTACCTCCCTTACACTGTTTTAAATTATCTTAATTGTTCATTAACCATTACTTTATTCATAATTTAAAAGCAGTGTAAGGGAGATAATTTCAATGATGTATTTGATTTATCTCCCTTACACTGCTTTAAATTATGTTTTGTACTAAAGTATTTGTCCATTAACCAGGACAACCTTGTTTTTCCCCCTTTTTTGCCCCTAATTCTTAAACGGTTTGAGCCATAACCCCCCAAAGCAAATCCTAACCATCCCTTTGTGGTATGGAAACTTGTAGTATAATTTCAGAGAGATCCATACACCGTTCCACAGTTATTGTCTGGAAACTAGAAAATGCTTATTTTTGGCCCCTTTTTGGCCCCTAATTACTTAACTGTTGGTACCATAACCCCCAAAATCAATCCCCACCTTCCTTTTGTTGTATTGAACCTTATGGTGAAATTTCATAGAGATCCATTCACTTAAACTAAAGTTAGAGTGCGAAAACTAATGCGTCTTCGGACGACGACGCCGGATGACGACAACGACGACGCCAACGTCATACCAATATACGACCACAAAAATTTGTTTGCAGTCGTATAAAAATCACTTTTCCTCTAATCTATAAACATCTGACAAATGATAATTTTAAAAGTTTTTCTATTATTAGCTTAATATCATACAGCAAAGAGGAGATAAATCTACCTGTTGTTAAACAATGACGACATGAGTATCCAGATTCTCGGCTGCCTCCACTGTCGTCAGAGTCCTGATCAGAACATTCACTGGCAGAACTAGCGTCCACTGCAATATAAAATGTGGTCAGTGTCAATATGTAACAAGAATGTGACCATAGTACACGGATGCCCCACTCGCACTATCATTTTCTATGTTCAGTGGACAGTGAAATTGGGGTCAAAAATCTAATTTGGCATTAAAATTAGAAAGATCATATCATAGGGAACATGTGTACTAAGTTTCAAGTTGATTGGACTTCAACTTCATCAAAAACTACCTTGACCAAAAACTTAAACCTGAAGCAGGACAGGCAGACGAACGGATGCAGACCGAAAAACATTATGCCCCTAAAAATACCAAAAAATCTGAAAAAAAAATTAGGTACTGCTAATAAGAAAAATACTTTTATAAAACATATTTAGATTGCAATTAAAGTGTTTTAGCTTTTAAGTTTTGGTCAATTTAACTAACATTTCAAAATTTCAGTCCATTAAACATAGATATATTAGATCTGAGCTATAAATCAGTAAAAATACCCTCTACTCTCTATGGGTTATTTTTTTCACCTCATCTTTAAAAGAAATTACATAATATTTTACCAAAAATAAGGACTCGAGTTGAAATGATAATTGATCAGGACCCTCATTAAAAAGTCTCTCTACTTCATTTTTTACAAATTTATCATGAGTCATTACAAGATGATTATGTATGAAAAATGTTACATGCTTTTACACTGTCCCTAAAATTGTATTTTGAAATGATGCTTTTTTACTTTGAGCCAAATAAATTAGCAAACAAAGGACAGATTCTGGTCAAATTTTCTAAATATGGTGCAAGGTGCTTCAAAGATATTCCCTAGTTTTCAAACAAACAAAAATTTATAGCTTCCCCTTTTTGACAGACTATTAGTGACCCCTAGATGGTCATTTTACCCTAAGCTATTGGATTGCTGTCTCACTCATGCTTATAATATATATCTTCTCATTTGAAAGTACTATTGAAAAATAATCTAAGGTTAGTACATTTCATGTACCACCCATAAATTCTTTTCTTGGCTGTACCTTTATTTTTAGAACACTGCTGATTCATTCATTTGTTACAATTTCCATGGATTGAGGTAAACTTGCCTTTACGTGGATACGTCTAATTTAGTGGTTTTGCTATATTTCAAGTCTGCCTACATTCCTATGGACAAATTTTAAATCATTGAACTGTACCCATGAAATCCACGAAAGTTGGTATCCAAAGAATACTAATGAATCCACAGACTGTTTGCTCTCCAGTCCCAAGACTAGCATAAGTTCACATGTATTAACACACATGACACAGGAATCAATACATATCTCACGTCTTATCTAAACGTACTTAACAAGTTTATATGTTATTTTTTTACCTGATTAAACATACCACAACATGTTCTTTTAGATCCCACACAAAATGGAATATGCAGTTTGTCAAAGTTTATAATGTACAAAGACTTATAATTGGTCCATATGTTTGTTCAGGCCAAACACTCGTTCTTCATTTCGTTTCGATTTAAAGCCGATTAAATTCATATGACAGGTTCATTCAAACATCAACAAATACATAAAGTCAATTTAAATAAAATCTTTCTTTTAATAAGTATGAATTATGTAAAAGTTTAATTAAAACTTCAGCAAGCATTTGCAAGTAAGATCTTATCTCTCTGATGAACTACTTGACAATTCACAATCAAAATGGAGAAGGCATATAAATCCCTTTTGTATGAGAAATGTAAACAGAAGAAAATTTTAAAGATTTCAAAACAAGTTTTTCCATATCAGTCAATTTTGTTCCCAGAGAAGGCAATCTTTTTTTTTAAAGACCTGTCTAACAAATTGTCAAGCCAAAATAATAACAAATGATACTGACTTATATTGCAGCTCCTATGTAAAATTTTGGTCTCACAGTTTGCAAATTATAAGAAATTTTAACACTGGAGAAAAGTGCTCAACCAAAATTTTGAAAATATACCACACCAGTCTTGAAATAAATGGGGAATGTGTCCATGGGACACAGATGATGCCCCTACTTGCATAAAACGTTATAAAGGGACATAACTCAAGAACTGTTAAAGTGACGCTACCAAATTTGTACTTGATCTGAGTTTTGTGGTAATAAGTATTGTTTATAAGTTCATAACATTTATTTGAGGCAAACTTAAGTTAAAGAACGGAAACAAAAAATTCAGCAATTTTTCCAGTTGTAAAGGGGCATAAGTCTAGAAAGGTAAAAGTGACACCAGCAAAATTTAAACTTGATCTGTGTTTTGTGGAAATAAGCATTGTGTATAAGTTTCATAACATTTGGTTGAGGCAAACTAAAGTTAGAGAATGGAAACCAAAGCTACAGTGGGGGCATAAAAAATCTCCCGCTCTGATACATGTCCCCCTAGTTGTACACACACATTTTCCTTACAACCAAATTTTTTTTTTTTCAGAAAATTATCTTTCAAAATGAAGGAAGACATTATTCACTACATTTCCTAACATCTTCTTTTGATTTTATGATGGTAATTTTTTAAGAAACTGAAATCAAGCTGAGTTTTCTATTACTGTTACAAAAATGAGTTTACAGGCAAAAAATTAAGAGTTTTTGTTACAGTAAGAAAAACAGTTCTCACAGACAAAAATCATATTTAGCTAACAAAGACCAATTGCATAATTCATAATTCATAAATCTAATTTACAGGTAACAGATCTTATTTGTGTTTCATATCAGATTGAACATCCTATGGCAAGATTTGGGATGGATATGTGACTTACAGAATTCACTAGATGCTGGTCTTTGTGATCGTGTGTTTCTTTTAAAAGCTGGTCTCTTATGTCGTCTCACAGGTCTGTTTGTGGCAGCACTTGGGGTCTTTTTCCAGAAATAATAATACTCAACTAGTTCACCCTGAAATCAAAAATGTGCAATATACAACACCTGATATACAATGATATATTCCCAGGCATTTACAATCTAGTTTTTCCCTGTAAAATGATTTGAGGCCATCTTTAATTTCAGAATGCACCCCATTTTCAAATATGTGATTACCAGTGAGAAATAATGAGTGAAAGATCTGTTCATGCTGCTCCTCATTTTGAAATAAAGATTGTGTGGAGATATTCCTCTATGATAAAAACCAAGCAATAATCATTTTTGGAACAACATTTTCAAGAACAGTACAGCATATGGATACTTTGATGGACATATTTTACCAGGAATGCAAAGAACTTTATTATATCAAGAATAATTTTTATATATGTATCAAGAAACTTTAGAAAATACCTCTATGTGATCAAAAATCTTCAGTGACAACCTTCCTAATGCTAAAAACAATCTTTACAATGACAGACACAAATAAGGAATGGGTTAGAATTCCTTTAAACCTAATGTCTTCAAGAAAATGTTATGGTGGGACCATCACTCAGTTCATATTCCAATCATTCTATAATTTAATGTCTTTTCATGACTAAACAAACTAATCAGCAATGTCATATATATTTTTGTGCATATTATATATGATACTTTTTTAATGAATATAGAAATTTTACATTCCCAGAGCTTGATAATGCAGCAATGAATTTTAATAATTCATTGAGTTAATAAATTTCTATGACTTGTCAATGATTTTCCATTTTTCATTAGGAATTTGAAAGGGCAAGACTGGCTAGACTGGATATATAAAATGGTCCACAATTTTTTGCCTCCCTCCGCTCGGCGGTATATATTAAGTTTTTTTTGCAATTCTGTCCTCCCTGTCAATGTAAAAATCAAAAAGTTTTGCAGAACAACACCTGGTAGCTTGAAGGATTTTGAGGCCATATATAAACCCCAAAAAATAAATCTCTTTTGAAATATTGTTTATGAAATCCTAGATAAACTATTTATCTTTAACAAAACCTTTTAAATACAAGGGATACTTTTAAAAATACCACACACAGAATATATAATATACGGACTATGTTTTCATCATAAGGTCAAAAGCCAAACCACAAATATTTAAAATTCAACTGTTATTGTTTTATGTACCATGACATTTCCATCACATAAACACTGTAATATGACCTTTATAATATGATTGTCAAAGGTCACTTAAGTACCACTGAATTAATATCATGGCTAATGGACTGTCAATCTTAATACACTCAGGTATTCTGTGGTGATACAATGCTGTAACCCTCAGACAGAGAAGTTGACCTTAGAAAGTCATTTTTTTTAGGCACCATTTGGTTTTATAGTGCCCAATGAATTTAATTGACTTTAGCAATGAGCATATTTGATGAAAAAAAGAAAAGTGGTTTAAATGTTGCACTAGTGGCATATTGGCCGATTTTAGAGATGATTTGTCAGTGAAACAGCAAACCACAACTGAAGTTTAGTATATCAGAAACAGATATCTATAGGTATTATAGCTTTCAATGATGCATGATGTCCAATCTATATGAATGAAGTGTACAAATCTCAATCAACTGAGAAAAAGAAAGAAAAAGTTGATCACATTAATGTGACAATGAACCAAATACGAACAGATTTATCAAATCTGTAGTCACAATTATATAATGAATAAGAAATATCTCAAAATATTCAAATATTTAAATGACCAAACTGATATTCAAGCCTTATTTTGTGATTTCCTGAAATATAAACTATATTTTTTTCATATGTTTATCATTGTTTATAATTTGTTGAACGTTATCTTCCTAGAAGATGTTCTACTGACAGTAACTTTCTATCTTTTTTATCTTTGTTTTTTTCCTTCTTGTAATAATATAAAATAACATGCCAAGTGTCTCACCTTCAGCAGTCAGCAGACATTGAGAAAGGTGCATACCATATCAACAATAATTACCAATAATGATAATCAGTCAGTGTAATGACCCCAAGCTGTCAAGCTCTATTAGATATCAGTGGAGCATAAATTGTTACTTATAGCATGGCAAGCCCTTTAACAATTTCTGTTTATACCACTGGCATCCATATTGTTTGTGTACATCAATACACAATGTTTACCAATTTGATTACAAAGCATTTATTATGTTTACAGCTAGATCTCATTAAAGTCAAACTATCTAATTCACAGCTTTTCATGTTTTTAAAAACAATCCCACAAAGATAAATTTTTTCTTTCCTTTCTTCCTGCACATTGATTTAACATAATAACATTTAATAGGTATTCATTGACAAGGGGAATAACACGAAATAAACGTCCAGTCGACCGATTACTAGAGGTGAAAATGTCAATACAAATATTAAATGAGTCAACTTACACTATATTGTGACAGTTCTCTACAAAAAATCTCAAATTAGCATACAACACTAAAGAATACATTCCAAGTGAAGTGACTTCTGCTAAAACCAATATGGCCGCTTGTTCTTAGCCTCACAATCATACTAGCATAACATCCATACAGGCAGTTAAAGGGAAGGCTGAACAATTCATCAGACATTTCCCAGTATAAGAAGTGAAATATAAATGTTAGCAGGGCAGGTAGCTTGCTTTCTCACTGTTGGCAAGATAAAATACAATTAAAGAAGGTAAATGACAACCGCTGAGTTGATTTGATTAAAAACCCTGTAAAACTTTTAACTTTTTGAGTATATAATCGTATCTATGTTGATGTTAATAATACAGGTTAATGTGCTCGGATATTACCCACTGAAAAATTAGTCATGCATTGTTACCCTGAACTATACAAGGATATCTTTGGAGGGTAAAATGGATGTTGACTCTTACAACACACTTTATAAAAGTGACAAGATTTATAAAAATCCGATTAGGATTAAGCTGCTACTTACATTGGTAGACATGAAAGTTCATAATTTGCTTTCTCAAATATGAAAATAAGAAATTCAAAATTTATTAGATTTAGATATTATTCACTAATATAAATAGAAAATTTAAAGTCTATCTTTATAACAAATGATTTAATTTTTCATTACTTATAATGCTTCTTGTAAAGAGCCCTGTGATAATGTAAACAGTTCATTTTGAATTTTGTACCAAAAATTCAAGCTACAATGATATACATGTTGAATTAATACTTTTTTTAAAAGCTTGCTGAATTTTATTCCTGATTGCTTTTTATACTGACATCTATATTTTGGCAGGACTACAATAGCAGTCTAAGTCATTAGATAATTTTAAGAATGGACTAATCATAACCCTTCGAGAAAATATCTTTTTTTTTAAACATGAAGTTCTGTTTCTTGCAGACATGGAAAAATGAATATGAATGTTAGATGTTTAGTATATATGTCAAAAAGACAGCAACCCATTACAAATAGAGGACAACATACAGTCTTCAACAATAGACAGGTGGACCATGCAAAATGTATAGCCCTAAATTGTCAAAGTCTATAAAGAGTAAACGAAACAATTGAAGATCTGCCAATAAAACACAATTCTCCAAAAAACGAAAAACGAAAAACATCTAGATATGACAACTGACAAAGTTCCTGACTTGGGACAGGCACGAAAAAATGTGGCAGGTTTAAATTAGTTTTTTTTTCAAGTCTACGAAAGATCTGCATACATGAAATTAGCATACAAATTTTTATCATTTCACCACTTTTGACCAACAGAAATTTTTTTTAAAACTAAGTATATTTCATTCATTCAGCTTACCGGTATTATGATTTCAATTTTCCCTGACTGGTTGTCTGGGTTGATTATTTGTTATAATGAATGTGTGGTTGGTTTTATCTCAGTTCTTCATTGGTCAAAATTCAATAAAAAAACAGAGTTCCAATGTCCCCCGCGTTGCATATATTTTATATTTCCAAGGGGAATAACTCTTTTAAAAAAAAGTCGATCGACCACCATTATAGACCTTGTCCAAGATATTGCTGATATTAACCTATAGTATAAGTTTTATAAAAATCTGGCAAGAATTGTACCCATGAGAGCACTAACGAGGCCATTTTCCATAAATTTAATATTTCCAAGGGGCATAACTCTTTTAAAAAAAGTCGATTGACCACCATTATATAACTTGTCCGAGATATTGCTGATATTAACCTATAGTATAAGTTTTATAAAAATCTGGCAAGAATTGTACCAGTGAGAGTGCTAACAAGACCCGATGGACATAAGGACGGATGCCCGGTATTTCCATGTCCCTACTGCAACGGGACAATTATGACGTAAAAATTGTCTTGCTTTCCTCTTAATGTTCTATTGTGAAAAAAGGCGACCATGTCTGATGACATCACATGTAAAGACAACATCTTTTTGCAGATCATATAAAAAAAAAAGATTAAGTTTGTCTTCATATTGTCCTTAAATCATAAGAGAGATCCATGACCACTGAATCTCAGGCAGTATGATATTTCTTCACTCTCAAAAGTTAAATTTTGAATATTAATAAAATGCTTCGCTGGGGCGCAGCTTGATACGACCGCAGAGGTCGAACCCTGAACAGTTGGGGCAAGTATGGACACAACATTCAAGCTTGATACAGCTCTGAATTTGGATTGTTATTAAATATTTGACACAGCATAGGTTTCTGACACAGAAAGAATGTGGTCTAAGAACTTGAATTTTTTTAATTTACCTATTATGGTCCAATGTCCAATATCAAAATACATGGTTAGATTCAGCATATCAAAGAACCCCATATATTCAATTTTTGTTGAAATCAAACAAAGTTTAATTTTGGACCCCAATTTGGACCAACTTGAAAACTGGGCCAAAAATCAAAAATCTAAATACATGTTTAGATTCAGCATATCAAAGAACCTCGTATATTCAATTTTTGCTAAAATCAAACAAAGTTTCATTTTGGACCCTTTGGACCTTAATGTAGACCAATTTGAAAACTGGACCCAAAATTAAAAATCTAAATACACTGTTAGATTCGGCATAATAAATAAATAAATGTGATCAAAGATTTTACAAATCTAATGCACCATACTGTGCAATTAAAGATTACTTCTTGAAATTTTTCAATATTTGAAATTTGAAAAAAAAATAATATTTGAAGAATAATTCTTTTTAATTTCTGAAATCTGAAATGAGAATAAATTGACCCCCCACAATTTCTTTTTACCCACCCCCCCCCTTTTTTCCCCCAAAAAATTCTTTCCCTCAAGATATGGTCATAATCTCAATTCAAATTTCCAATGGAGTTGGCAACCATAATTCCCCATTTAAATTTACCATAGTGCTAACTTAATCTATTTTATAATAGAATTAAAAATATAGTGTCAAATCTTTCATATGGATTTTTTTGTAAAAAAAAAAGATGCAACATTTGCAGATATTTTTACTGGTCTTCCTTTATAAATATGCATTTCTTTAAACATAATTTAAAAGCAGTGTAAGGGAAGTAACCAAAACGTTGTATTTGGATTACCTCCCTTACACTGTTTTAAATTATCTTTATTGTTCATTAACCATTACTTTATACATAATTTAAAAGCAGTGTAAGGGAGATAATTTCAATGATGTATTTGATTTATCTCCCTTACACTGCTTTAAATTATGTTTTGTACTAAAGTATTTGTCCATTAACCAGGACAACCTTGTTTTTCCCCCTTTTTTGCCCCTAATTCCTAAACGGTTTGAGCCATAACCCCCCAAAGCAAATCCTAACCATCCCTTTGTGGTATGGAAACTTGTAGTATAATTTCAGAGAGATCCATACACCGTTCCACAGTTATTGTCTGGAAACTAGAAAATGCTTATTTTTGGCCCCTTTTTGGCCCCTAATTCCTTAACTGTTGGTACCATAACCCCCAAAATCAATCCCCACCTTCCTTTTGTGGTATTTAACCTTATGGTCAAATTTCAAAAAGATCCATTCACTTAAACTAAAGTTAGAGTGCGAAAACCAATGTGTCTTCGGACGACGACGCCGGACGACGACGACGACGACGACGACGACGACGACGACGACGCCGTCATACCAATATACGACCACAAAATTTTTTTGCGGCCGTATAAAAACCTGGGAAAGCCTCATGTTTTAAATATCAAAATTTAACTCTCTTGAGTGGAGAAATATCATATGACATTTGATGCAGTGGTAGATATAATAAAATGCTCCGCTGGGCGCAGCTTGATACGACCGCAGAGGTCGAACCCTGAACAGTTGGGGCAAGTATGGACACAACGTTCAAGCTTGATACAGAACTGAATTTGGATTGTGATTAAATATTTGACACAGCATAGGTTTCTGACACAGAATGAATTTGGTCTAAGAACTTAAAACAAGAAATAAGCAATTTATACGAAGTATCTTCTTTTGCACAATACTGTGCAATTGAATATTTCTTGCTATTGCGCAATACTGTACAATTGACAATTTCTTGCTATTGCGCAATATTGTGCTATTGGATATTTCTTGCTATTGCGCAATACTGTGCAATTGAAGATTTCTTGCTATTGCGCAATACTGTGCAATTGAAGATTTCTTGCTATTGTGCAATACTGTGCAATTGAAAATTTCTTGCTATTGCACAATACTTATTATATAATAATTTACACATCCTGTTTGGTGTGTATCTCCTACCATATCATGATTATTTGCTTTTAAATATAAATCAGAAATAACCAACTTAAAATGGAAAATTTTAAAAGAAAAAAAAAAGGAAAAAAAGAAAAATAAAAGAATAAACACCCCCCCCCCCCCCCAATTTTTTGAACCCCTTTATGATTCATCACCCCCAAACTCAATCTCAGCCTTCCCTTTGTGGTATGGTACCTTGCAGTACAATTTCAGAGAGATCCATACACTTGAACACAAGTTATTGTCTGGAAACTAGAAAAATGCTTATTTTTGGCCCCTTTTTGGCCCCCAAATCCTAAACGTTTCAGGCAATTACCCCCAAACTCAATTCCAGCTTTCCCTTTGTGATATGGAACCTTGTAGTACAATTTCAGAAATATCCAATTACTCACACACAAGTTATTGTCATGAAACTAGAAAAATGCTTGTTTTTTGCCCCTTTTTTGGCCCCTAATTCCTAACATTTTGAGGCAATTACCCCCAAAATCAATTACAGCCTTCCCTTTGTGATATGGAACCTTGTGGTACAATGTCAGAGAGATCCATACACTTACACACAAGTTATTGTCTGGAAGTTACAAAAATGCTTATTTTTGGCCCCTTTTTGGCCCCTAATTCCTTAACTGTTGGTACCATAACCCCCAAAATCAATCCCAACCTTCCTTTCGTGGTATTGAACCTTATGGTAAAATTTCATGGAGATCCATTCACTTAAACTAAAGTTAGAGTGCGAAAACCAATGTGTCTTCGGACGACGACGCCGGACGACGACGACGACGACGACGACGACGACGACGCCGTCATACCAATATACGACCACAAAATTTTTTTGCGGCCGTATAAAAACCTGGGAAAGCCTCATGTTTTAAATATCAAAATTTAACTCTCTTGAGTGGAGAAATATCATATGACATTTGATGCAGTGGTAGATATAATAAAATGCTCCGCTGGGCGCAGCTTGATACGACCGCAGAGGTCGAACCCTGAACAGTTGGGGCAAGTATGGACACAACGTTCAAGCTTGATACAGAACTGAATTTGGATTGTGATTAAATATTTGACACAGCATAGGTTTCTGACACAGAATGAATTTGGTCTAAGAACTTAAAACAAGAAATAAGCAATTTATACGAAGTATCTTCTTTTGCACAATACTGTGCAATTGAATATTTCTTGCTATTGCGCAATACTGTACAATTGACAATTTCTTGCTATTGCGCAATATTGTGCTATTGGATATTTCTTGCTATTGCGCAATACTGTGCAATTGAAGATTTCTTGCTATTGCGCAATACTGTGCAATTGAAGATTTCTTGCTATTGTGCAATACTGTGCAATTGAAAATTTCTTGCTATTGCACAATACTTATTATATAATAATTTACACATCCTGTTTGGTGTGTATCTCCTACCATATCATGATTATTTGCTTTTAAATATAAATCAGAAATAACCAACTTAAAATGGAAAATTTTAAAAGAAAAAAAAAAGGAAAAAAAGAAAAATAAAAGAATAAACACCCCCCCCCCCAATTTTTTGAACCCCTTTATGATTCATCACCCCCAAACTCAATCTCAGCCTTCCCTTTGTGGTATGGTACCTTGCAGTACAATTTCAGAGAGATCCATACACTTGAACACAAGTTATTGTCTGGAAACTAGAAAAATGCTTATTTTTGGCCCCTTTTTGGCCCCCAAATCCTAAACGTTTCAGGCAATTACCCCCAAACTCAATTCCAGCTTTCCCTTTGTGATATGGAACCTTGTAGTACAATTTCAGAAATATCCAATTACTTACACACAAGTTATTGTCATGAAACTAGAAAAATGCTTGTATTTTGCCCCTTTTTTGGCCCCTAATTCCTAACATTTTGAGGCAATTACCCCCAAAATCAATTACAGCCTTCCCTTTGTGATATGGAACCTTGTGGTACAATGTCAGAGAGATCCATACACTTACACACAAGTTATTGTCTGGAAGTTACAAAAATGCTTATTTTTGGCCCCTTTTTGGCCCCTAATTCCTTAACTGTTGGTACCATAACCCCCAAAATCAATCCCAACCTTCCTTTCGTGGTATTGAACCTTATGGTAAAATTTCATGGAGATCCATTCACTTAAACTAAAGTTAGAGTGCGAAAACCAATGTGTCTTCGGACGACGCAGGACGACGACGACGCCAACGTCATACCAATATACGACCAAAAAATTTTTAATTTTTGCGGTCGTATAAAAAGAAGACGTGGTATGATTGCCAATGAGACAACTCTCCACATTAGACCAAATGACACAGAAATTAACAACTATAGGTCACCATATGGTCTTCAACAATGAGCAAAACTAGTTTCTTGGTGCCAAACCCTCCCCCTAACCTGGGACAGTGGAGTAATGGTACAACATAACAAACTGAATCTATATGTAATAGATGGTTTTCATTGTCTTGAGTGGAGAAATATCGTATCATGTTTGATGCAGTGATAGAATCTATATGTAATAGATGGTTTTCATTGTCTTGAGTGGAGAAATATTGTATCACATTTGATGCAGTGGAAGAATCTGATGCAGAGGTTGAATCTATATGTAATAGATGGTTCTCATTGTCTATAGTGGAGAAATATCATATGAAATTTGATGCAGAGGTAGAATCTATATGTAATAGATGGTTTTCATTGTCTTGAGTGGAGAAATATCGTATCACGTTTGATGCAGAGGTAGAATCTATATGTAATAGATGATTTTCATTGTCTTGAGTGGAGAAATATTGTATGACATTTGATGCAGAGGTAGAATCTCTTTGTAATAGATCGTTTTCATTGTCTATAGTGGAGAAATATCGTATCACGTTTGATGCAGAGGTAGAATCTCTTTGTAATAGATCGTTTTCATTGTCTATAGTGGAGAAATATCGTATCACGTTTGATGCAGAGGTAGAATCTCTTTGTAATAGATCGTTTTCATTGTCTATAGTGGAGAAATATCGTATCACGTTTGATGCAGAGGTAGAATCTCTATGTAATAGATCGTTTTCATTGTCTATAGTGGAGAAATATCGTATGACATTTGATGCAGAGGTAGAATCTATATGTAATAGATGATTTTCATTGTCTTGAGTGGAGAAATATTGTATGACATTTGATGCAGAGGTTGAATCTATATGTAATAGATGGTTCTCATTGTCTATAGTGGAGAAATATCATATGACATTTGATGCAGAGGTAGAATCTATATGTAATAGATTGTTTTCATTGTCTTGAGTGGAGAAATATCGTATGACATTTGATGCAGAGGTAGAATCTATATGTAATAGATTGTTTTCATTGTACTGTTGGTATCTGCTCCCTCTTTTTGAAGGCCAGGATGATGCTGGCAAACTGAAGGTTACGAGACAGCAATTATTTGTAATGCATTTTCCATAGGGTTTTAGTAGTGTAAAAAATCAATTTAGAAAAAAATTGGTAGCACTTCCTGTTATTAGAAATGTCAGTATTGTATTACAGGGGGAAAAAATGTGGAAAAAGTTTACCTAAATTTGGTTGAGAGAACTTTGAATTTTGAACTTAATGGAAAATGCAAATTGAATGGTGGCTTAGTTAACAATGTCTACACTAAGTAAAGTAAGTATTACATTTTCTGAAATAATGATTTAAAAAACAAACTTGATGATCCTAATTAAATGAAAAATAATTTCAACCCTGTATCATTCAATCAGAAGTCCCACACACTATTCAGAGTACCTTCTTGGAGTAAAACAGTTGCTGATAAAATGTAAACAAATAATGCAACTGAAACCTGTACATTTCTCTAACTTTTCCCCATCAATTCTAAATGGAGTTCTTTCCCTTAAAACACATTATATGATTTATTTATTTCAAAATGTTTCCAGTTCTATTATTTTTAATCAGGATTTCAATCAAGAGTCCCACACAATTTTATTCATATTCCATTATCTTGGGTAAATAAGTTGCTGGTAAAATGGATACAAATAATACAAAAGTAGGAGAAATTGATGTATTTTTTTTTTACCATTTATTCTGAAATCAAATGATAGAAAGAACAAAAAAATGTGCCTCATTGGTAGTCAAGGTCGTTAAATACCTTCTAGTAGTAGTAATTATGTTCAAATTCTTCCAAAATTTGACCAATAAATATATACGTTTCTAATTCAGATATTGGAATATTCCAAGTATAATTTTCAACAAAAACTCTTTTATCCTTGTTCTCACAAATCTATTTAGGGCGACCTGTATTTTTGTCTTACTGAAGGTCAAAGTTGCAACAGTGTATATATTCCATCGAAATGCCTCGAAAGATCACCTTAATCTAAAAAGTTGGTTGAAGCTGATTTCCGACAAGATGATGGAGTCAAAATTACGTTATCAAACACAACTACTAATGGTTGTAAATAAAAATATTCAAAAGCTTGAATCCCATCTAAAATGGATACATTAAACTTTAAGAATGGGTACAAACCAATCTCTACACAGCAAATGATATCTGCTAATATAAGTATACAGTGCACATCAAAGCATTTATTTTCAATTTGCATGTTCTGCACTAGGAGAATGTCTTCATGATCTTTGTAACTGATTATGTAACCAACAGAATCAATGGCATGTTTTGCTTAATTATATAGCTCTGATTTTTGGTTGTAAATGTTTATCAATTTAACAAAACTATAAGCCACTGCGTTACTCGGTAATGGCAACTAATTATCATCCAATCTTTACTAATTTGCTTTGAAAAGAGTTCATCTGTAAAAGGTTTTTCTAAAACAATGAGTATTGTCTTTTATCCTGTGAAGTTATAGCAATAAAAAAACATATTCTAATGCAACTGAACCTGACACAGTGTCTGATATTTTGCCGAAAATCAAGAACCAAGGTAGCAGAAATCGTGACTTAATATGGAATATCCCAAATTCTTCCATCCCTTCAAAACCTAAATTAGAAGTTTAATATTAAATTTCAGGACAGATCCTCTAGAAAAAGGACAAATTTACAAAGAAATGCCAGAAGGAAAGGAGAAATCTTTGAAAATGGTCTCACTGGCCATTTTTATTTCAGTTATAGAATAAATCTTTGAATGAAGTAAATATCAAAGTTTTGAAAAACTGTAAATAAATAAATTTTTGTCATGTTTATTTTTTATTATTGTAAAAAAATTGGACAGGATAAGTATGACATTTAAAAGAATGAACAATTTCACATTTTAAATCCCTGATGCATGTCCTGATACTCAGTATTCATCATAATCTCACATTTATCTGTCCGTTATACAAAAATTGCATTTATAAAGACACAATTATTTGTGATTTAACAGTATCATGCACCGTTAAACACAACTCTGACTTATTTTGACATGAGCAGACCAGATAATATGCATTTATCTTTTCAACAAAATCAATAGGACAAAATTTCCATTGGATCAAGACGTAAAAGATTTATCGCTGATCTAAACAAACATTCTCAAGACCCTAACAAAACTAACATGACACGTAGGAAAATCAATTTTCTCCATTGTTCAACAACTTTGATCCTCATGTTTGCACAATATTGGCTAACTTATTACAAGTGGTAAACTAATTTATTTGTAGATGAACAACTATTCACTTTATGAGCCTCTTTTTGGTCATAAGTGTTAGTAACTCTTTCAGTGTGTTGTTAATGCTGTGATCGTAATTACTCCCGCAAATCATTGGAATACAGAAATCGATTCCATTAAATACTATAATCATGAATATGTCTTTAGGGTTTGTAAAACTTAGAGGCACAGGGACCCAGTTATTTAACACTAGTTTTCAATATTAAAAGTTATCAGTTGAATTTTTTTTTAAATAAGGCAATTTGT